GGAATACAGATTTGCATTCCTAAAGCTATATTGTTCCTCTAATGATTTTCAATATTTTATTCAGGTCACATTCTTATGCTTTGGAATGTTCACAAACAATTTTACCATTTTTGACCACATGGTCTTATTAATAAGAATATTTTACAACATATAAGATCAGTAAACAATGCACTATATCAGTGGTTCACAACTTTTTTTCACTTGAGTACCCCTTGGCTGCCCATTTCCATAAATTGTACCTTCCTCCCCCCCCATTAACAAAATGTCTGTAATACATAGTTGCATTTATTTCAAATTTATATGTCTTTCTCTGGCACTGACACACATGCAGATGCAGACACACAGATACACACATTGACACACATACAGGTACAGACAGAATAAAACACTGACACACATAGAGATACAGGTGTGGCGAAAGTAACCTCGCCACTGTTTTTTGGAGGGGCCTGTTTGCCAGCCTCCTGCCCTGCGACTATGGCCCTGGGATGTATTGCCCTTCTAGGAACTGATTTGGGCATAATGGATTTTTATATTGCTGTTCCTGGCCCTTTAACTACTTTGGAGCAGTGTTACAACTTTAAATTGGCACTTTGGATACATCCAAAGTAGTCGAAGTGGCCGCCATTCGACAAACCAACACGTGGCGGCGGCCATTTTAACTCATTCGAACGCAGTCAGTGGTGTGTGCAGCCAAATCTATGGAACTGTTTTCGGCTACCCAATTGTACATACACCGCTGACCCGTACCTTCTACTCTACTTCGACACTGCAGCTGGAGACTAAGTCCCATTCGAAGATTCGAAGGATCGTTCGAATGGGACTTAGTCATTGGTCTCGGTGTAAAATAGACCGACCGCACAGCCCAAATCCATGGAACTGTTTTGGGCATGAAAATGTGCTTGCGGTCAGTCAAAAGTGACTTATATCTATCTCCCGAACGGCTGAACGGATTCAAATGATTTTTGGGTATGTTTGTATTTGAAATATGCTGATTAATAATATGTGACATTTATTAATATTGGATGTATAGTTTTAGAGTTATGAAAGTTGGGTAAAAAGTATGTTTTAAATTGTACGGCTAATTGTGTAACCTCTCTGGCTAAGGGGAGGAGATGTGTGGGATGTAACCAGTGTGTTATTGGGTAATCCATAATTGTTTGTGGGTGTCTCCCTTGCATGTAAGAATTGCATAAAAGCAGAGTGTGTGTCATTAAAGGACCACTATAGGCACCCAGACCACTTCAGCTTAATGAAGTGGTCTGGGTGCTAGGTCCAGCTAGGTTTAACCCTTTTTTTCTATAAACATAGCAGTTTCAGAGAAACTGCTATGTTTATAATAGGGTTAATTCAGCCTCTAGTGGCTGTCTCATTGACAGCCGCTAGAGGCGCTTCCGCGCTTCTCACTGTGAAAATCACAGTGATGAGAATGCTTGCCTATGGACTGGCTGAGTGCGCGCGCAGCTCCTGCATGCGCATGCATCTGCATGCGCATTTAGCCAAGGAGGAGGAGAGGAGGAGGAGGAGAGTCCCCCGCCCGGCGCTGGAGAAAGACGTAAGTTTAACCCCTTCCACCCCCTAGAGCCCCGGCGGGAGGGGGACCCTAAGTTTTCCTGGCACTATAGTGTTCCTTTAAACCAGAGTTCTACTTTACCCTCAATTTGGAGTGCCGTCTCTTATTGGGGGAATCTTCTACAAGGGATTGCTATGCTATTCACACTCCCTTAGCTAATCACTACTAAGCTCTTTTAAGAGCTTGTTCCTGCTTCACTCTCTTGGATGAGAGGTTCACCCACTGGAGCCTGGAGCCTTGTCATAGGTCCAGGGTGGGTAAGAGATGGCGAGACCCCAACCAAGCTACGGCGGTTTGTGGGGTCTGCAGTGGTTGTGGTGTCTGGCGGAGCGCTTGGAGCCCTCTGGAAGCGCTAGGAGCATCCAATAACGGAGGTACCCAGTCGGGGTGACAGGCGATCCGTTACAACAGGCACACAGATACAAACACTGACACACATACAGGTACACAGATAAATACCATGACACAAAGAAACATGCACTGACACACATGCAGATACACAGACACATAGATACATACACTGACACACTTAAGGATATACACCCTGACACAGAGATACACACCTTGACACACAGATGCACAGACACATGCAGATGCACTGACACACATGCAGATACACAGATACAGACACTGACACACATCCTCATGCTCAGATACTTATCCTTACATACATGCCCTGAGACATAGATACACACATTGTCACACAGACACACATGCAGGTACACAGACACACAGATACACACTGACACACATGCAAAAACACAGACACATAGATACATATCTGTGTGTTTTAGGGGTTCTGTGTGTGAGGGGTACTGTTTTTGAGGGGTACTGTGTATGAGGGGTACTCTGTGTGTGTGTGAGGGGTGCTCTGTGTGAGGAGTGCTCTGTCTGTGTGTGTGTGGTGCTCTGTATGTTTGAGGGGTACTCTGTGTATGTGATGCGCTGTGTTTGTGAGGGGTGATCTGTGTGTGAGAGAGGTGCTCTATGTGTTTAAGAGGTGCTCTGTGAAAAGGGTCCTGTGAGGGGTGCTCTGTGTGAGGGGGGGGCTATGTGTGGGGTGCTCTGTGTGTTTGTGTCTGTTTTTCTGTGTGTGAGGGGTCCTGTGTTTGTGAGGGGTGCTGTGTGTGTAAGGGATGTGCTCTATATGTGTGAGGGGTGCTCTGTGTGTTTGTGAAGGATGCTGTGTGTGGGTGATGGGTATTGTGTGTGTGGGGGGGGGGTTTCTGTGTGTGACTGTGTAGACCTATATATTAGGGGGGTGGCAATGGATAAGAGTAATTAAGCTTACTTTTATTATTATTTTTTTTAAATACAAAAATAAATTGTATGTCCCCTCGCCCCTCTTCTTAACTTTTTCTCAGGGAAGGGGGACGTTGCAATGGTGGTCTGGTGGAGGTGAGCAGCTCTATCCTGCCTACAGCTCTACAGCTCCTCTGGCTGCAGGCAGATTTCAGATCACCGGCAAACCAAGGTAACTCGCAGCAACGCTCTGAATTGCCCAGCTCGCTGGAGGAACCCTCTGCCTCCCGGCTCCTCATTCCCTCCCTCCCTCTCCTGCAGGCCGCCTGTCAGGCACACTGCAAGGCCGGCGCTCGGATAGCATTATCCCAGTTTGCTTGATGGCCAGTCCCAAACCGTGAGGCCACCATTACCAAAATTATTTTGTGTACCCCCTTGGGCACTGAATTTTGTGTACCACGGGTTGGGAACCCCTGCACTATATCATGGATAAATCACATTTAAAAAAATATTTTATTTAAACATATTATTATTGTTGGTACTTATATAGCGCCAACTTACTCTGCAGCGCTTTACAATAAAAGGGGTATTTACCAAATGAGACAATAAGAAAATGTAACAGGAACAATAGGTAGTTGAGGACCCTGCTCAAAGGAGCTTACAGTCAATGTACTGTTATTTACACACAGTGTAAAGTGTGAACTGACAAGAGAATTTCAAATGTTAGTCCAAATAATATTCTTAAATTCCGCTATTGTATCCATCTTAGTTAATATTGAAATTTCTTCCACTCAGCCGTAGTAAGAGATTGGATATTTGTTTAACTTCACCACAATTTGTTGTTTGGCGAGTAACTAGCTGAGCATTTTGGCACATGCAGTTCCCAAACAATAGGAGCTGCCAAATTAGCCATCACACAGCATTAAAAAGAAGAGAAAAAGCTCCCCAAACATTTGTATGTCTTTTGCATGCTACCTGTGTCGGCTTAGGTCTCGTTTTTTTAATCCTATACAATTACTGTTCACAAGGTTTATTTGGAAACACAAACGCTACTGATTGGCTAATTCCACACAGAACTTACATGCCCGTAAATCCACATATCCACAAGATAGGGTAAGACATTGGGCAAAATATTTCAGAATCGGGATGACAGAAGGCAGCGACAGCACTATGCCAAGTCACTAGACACACCAATCATTTGGAAATGCATTATAAATTACTTGCATTGGTACATGCCACCAGTACGACTCCATAAAATATACCCAGCGACATCCTCCGACTGTTGGGGGTGTCAGGACACACAGGGTACCCTATATCACATCTGATAGACATGTCTATTATTCAGGGATTTGGGGCACAAATACACTTCTTACTACAAACTGTGGGGAGTACAGGAATCCTCAGAATATTTCTTGCGATTCCTTACTCCTTCTGGGATACAATGGGAAGTCAATAACCTGTTTCTTACAAGTGCACAATTATGGGTAGCAAGGGGGTGGAAATCCCATATCCCTCCTGCATTGATGTCAGTCATTGATGAGGTGAACAGTAACAAGGTTTTGAATTTACTGAACTCCTCATTGGCCTCCACATCTGCTCTAGTCGGAGTGTCGTGGGAACTTTGGGAAACATGTCTCCATGAGACTCAAAACCAACACTATTGTGGTGCTCAACCAACATTAAAAAAAAATAAGAAAGCAAAATCAACTCGCTAGAAGAAGGGGGAGGTAGTACCCACTGGAACAGTTGTGTATTTGTTTGGAAGATCCTGCTAGGCGCTACCAATATTATTGTTCTTGTTTTTTTCTGTTTTTGTTTCATTTTATTCAATCCTTTAATTTCACTTTTGTCATGCATTGACATAGACATTGACACCATACAGTTCCTCGCTAGTGGCGTGGAAGCAACTTTGCGGAGAGGATTTTCATCACTGTAGTATAAAAGCCATGAATTTCGTTATTATGAGGAAAGAGAAGTTTCAAAGCCTCAGTTATGGACTACAGATGTGACTTCTGTCAAGTGTTTTTTTTCTGATAGGTGATCCTGCGTTTCCACCATATTGTTTGTCTTTTGTAATATGTTCATGGAACTTTGTATTGTGCGGCGAAAGGAAAAAACGATAAAATATACGTTTTTAATTTTTAAAAAAAAGATATGATAAAGGCTCAAATTTAGTATTAGAAATGGTGAGTTTATTTTTTTTTTATATCTCCCCCCAAGAAACATAATTATAATCAAGTGGCACCAATATGAAACAGATATTATACTACATAGTTTAAGTCTGTGTTTTATTTAAATCTGATGTGTTTCTCAAGATAGCTTTTTCTTGCAAACCCCCTGAGAGCTGGCACAGTAAAATGCTCTTATATTTTATTTCAAGAGCTGTAACACCCATTCGATATGGTTTGAACTCACAAACTTATCTTACTGATCTACAGGCAAGAGAAAGTTTGATTGGAAATAAAGCGTTTATGTCTCAAACCACATCAGAACAGAGCACTCATTAGTTTTAACAAATGCAAATATATAATACCAAAAATGAAAAGCAAAATACACAATCAATATTATTTTCCTTAATATAATAAAGATATAATATTCTTATATTTCACAAATCATTTTCCTTCATTACAAGTTTATTTATTTTTTTTGTTTTTGTTTTACCAGGGTCCCTTCTCACCTTTATGTACACATTTATTCATTTGTCATTTATTTGCTGATTTATAGCCCCGTTGATTGTAAAGCACTGCAAGAAATATTGGCTCTATATAAATGTGAATAATAATAAAGTTAATTTTATATTTTGGAGCATTTACCCAAAGCTTTAGAACATATTATCCTGCTACCCACAAAGCTGTAATTCATAATAATCAAATTCAGAGAAAAATTGCTTTTAAGTTTAAGATGGCGTTTTTTTATGTCTGTCTCAATAAAGATATTTTCACATCTCATTATAATTTTTAGATAGAAGAAAAGAAAAAAAAAAGAGTTCAGAAAGAATTTTATAGTTCTAAAATCAAAGTCACATTGGGATTCCAGAATTAGTGTCAGGGCGGCCACCTGGTGTTCACAAGGGGTAGTTCTGTGCTGTAAGGGCCAAAAACATGAAAAATACATAAATAAATAAATAAGAAAATATTGGAAACATTGCAAACTCTTTTTTATCATACTTTGTCCAAGCACTTATTTGACTCCCCATATAATTTATATATTTTTAGTTGCTTTATTCTATAAATCTGTTCATTTACAACCTTTGAGAAAAATTGCACACTTATTCTTCCAGACCAGGGTTCTCCAACCTCTGGCCCTCCAGATGTTGCTGAACTACAGTTCCCATGATTATCTGGCTATCAATTTCATTCAAAGAATCACAGGAGTTTTAGTTTAGCAACATCTGAAAGGCCAGAGTTTGGAGAACCCTGTCCTAGACCATGAAACAACAAAATAAGAAGTTCATATCATAATATATTTCAGGCAATTGTGGTAATAAGAGAAATAAGAAATGTAATACCCTTGAGCAATTCATTTCTGATATATTTTAAAATATAGTACAAGTTGTTACATCCATTCAGATTGGCAACATTCCAGCTATCTATTTCAGATGATCATCCCTCCCCACCTCATTGCCATCCAATGTCATGTTTCTGATAATTTTTTTTATTGGTTTACAAAGACTTTAGAACCTTTTTCAACGTTAAAAATAAAAGCCATTGAAGATGAATGTCAGTGACTCATTACTGCCCCCTAGTGATTTAGAGATAGATTCAAAATGGGAGGCACACGTTCTACAACTAAACAAATATATATATCTCAATGTAAACCTACCAATGTTATAAAAGAGCAGTGCAGCATTTCATAACTTCTATATAGTGATGAGTATTTCCAAATGTATAGGGGACACTGTCAATGTAATAATAATTAAATATCCCCAGGTGGAAATTATGAACGTGCCATGGAGTCCATTCTAGCAACTCATTTTCTTCTTTCCAGAACCTCAGACAGGCCCTGTTGAATGTAATATACATGCTTATTAAATATGTAAAATGAGGACCAATATGAATGTAAGAGTCCTTTTACCCATCATCTACTCCAGGTACTCTTAATGGTTCTGGAATGTGGATTTTTAATAGAACATTTGGCAATCTCTCTGTGTCCAGGAGACAGTGTTAACTCAAATCCAGGGTGTATGAAACTGTGCGAGACACACAGTCCCTGGAAGAAGTGAAGTGCCAAAACTCAATGTGATGGTCCTCTATGGAAGCCTAGGGGTCATTCTGCCTCTCTTTAGGTTATTGTTACTGAAAACTGTCTCTAAAACGAATTACGTTCCCATAGTTAATAGAGAGATATGACCCCTCCAGTGTGATCTTTTTGGCAGTGATAAAGCTTTTCGAATCCTCCAATCAGCATCGTGGTGAAATCCATTTCCTTCAGACCTGGGTACTGAGAGCGTGGATGCTCCTAGAAAAATTTGGTGTTCCACCCATCACAATGGTTGGGTCTGTGTAGTGGGTAGGAGTGTATGAACTTCTATCCCTTCCATTGCACATGGAGTCTGCAGTCCGTATATAGTAAGGAGAGCCGTATGGGGAATAGGCTGGTGCTGTAGAGGGTGGAGGTAACCCATCCCGGTGTCCTGAGGAGCAGTCATGACAGGGGAAGTGCGAGTGAGGTCTATGATCTGTATCCTCCTCTCCCTCTTCATGGAGTTCGTCTTTCTTGCAGCAATAATACTAGAGCCAAGAAAATGAAAGAATATTTAATACCCTCTACTGAACTTTTCTATATTAACTAGGCATACACGTGGGTCAATAATAAATCTTATCTTTATTGACAGATATACACACATATAAATACATGGCTATAAGTAGATTATGGAAATGATGTGCGTTTAGTGAACTGGGCTCAGAGAAAACTCTATTAAACTATCAAGTGTGACTTCACTAGTGCAAGAAGCAAAATACAAATAAACCACCCCTTGCTAGTAACTAGTAGTCAGAGGAAATACAGACATTTTTCAATAACCAAGAGTTTAAATTCCAACTTCAACAATGTTATTTCATTCTCCAACCGATCACTTTAAGCAGTGGTTCCCAACCCAGTCCTCAAGTGCCCCCTACCAGTCCAGGATTTAGGTATTACCCTGTTGTGTCTAAAGTGATATTTTCTTCTTTCTAAACACACCTTAGACATAACTGGGAAATCCCTAAATCCTGGACTGTTAGTGGGTACTTGAGGGCTAGGTTGGGAACCACTGATTTAAAGGATCATCATAGTACTCAAGCAGCAGTTAGAAGTCACATTAACCCGCAATTTATTTTTCAAATTATATCAGGGCTCAAAATTTCTTTTAGCCAGTTGCCACTAGCGAGTAAAAATTTAGAGAGAAGAAATTCACTCCGGGTAAGTGTATAAGTGCGACATTTTAAATGTCAAAAGAGGAGAACTTTCCTTTACGTGGATGTGATTAAGGGGTGTAGCTGCTGCCTTAAATATTCCAGAGTGTTGAGGTGTCTTAATGATCACTGATTTAAAGTCATTTTTTTGTTTTTCCACAAAGATTGAATCTTTTTGAAAAATTCCTATTTCACTGAAACTACAACATAATAGGAAAATATAAGAACCCTGAAAATATGCATGCAAAAAAACAAAGGATTACTTTGTCCTATGTACTTGTATAATTTTTGTAAAATGTGGTAAAAGGCAGAACAAGCTTCTGCTCACCTACATTACATGATGACTGCTGGGGGGAAAGGAATCTTCTCACACAATACACAATAAATGCCTATTGCGCATTTACAAGTATTATGGAAAATCTCTTGGTCTTGTGGTATCTGTCATTGACTTTTACATATGCAAGAGTACAACAATTATTTAGCTTCTCGCAAAATTAGCTGCCATAAGATGACGATGAAGGTTAAACAAAGAATGGCAGCTTTGAGGAGAGAGAGCTTCAGGTAAAAGCATCAACCTTTTCCTCCTAACTACATCCAGCATCTCCTTATAAGCAGACGTATCACCTGGGGGGAACGTGGCAAAAACATGTCCCTGCACGTGACATTGTCACTTTCAATAACTGGAGATGAGGTTAAGAACAAGATCAAGTCCATTTATTGTAATTTATAGACACATTTCAATAATACAGGAAAAAATAAAAGTTTTTAGAAAATAGAGAAATTAGAGGAGAAAAAATGGATAGATGGATTTGTGTCCAAAGGCTGGTCTTTTATTCCTCATGAAGGACAACTAGGGCAACAAAGGGGTGGCAACATTTGGCCTGAGGATCAGAACAAATGTATGGCATAAAGAATTGATGGATGCCTTTGAACGTAAATCTACCCATAATGCACATCTGATACAGGGTTTGACAAATGGAGGATGACATAGTCTTGAGTTCTATGGAATATGAGCATAAAATTCTAAGAGCCCAGTCAGCCTAACATTCTACAGGTAAGGTCTCCCTGGAAATATCATGGTATGCAAGTCTAGATCTGGAGATCACAAACGAACACAGGGCTGGGCGAGTAAATCCCTTCACAATTCTTGCCATCCTCTGCAGTAATATGCCAACAGCCCATCACACCATCAACATAGGAACCAAAGAATATCTAAGGGGACAAATATGTGCCACTTAGGGTTCATATGTTAAAGATTTCTATAGGTACAATAAGACTCTTCGTATAATGAGATATAGACCTATTTATGTTATCCCATGCAGCACACCTCCAGTTACTTTTAATCAGCAACTGAGGGGTGGTTTGGGGTTCTGTCCTACAAACATTGAATGCTAGTGCCATGGGGGAAAATACCCTGCCCTGACTTGTATACTGTGTTCATATAGTTTCCAAAAGTATGTTGTTGTTTTTTTAATATATTTTTATTTTTCCAAATTTTTTTTTACAATTATGAAAAATACGTACAATACCTCAATGAGCAATACAAATATATACAAATAAATGTGTTTCCATTAAAACAGATGTCTATAAAGTGCATTTATACCGACAGTGCTTCATATAACTTTAAATACGTACACATAAAAATCCATATATTGCAGAGCTGAAATAAACCGCAGTAGGATTATAGTATCTATAAGTTACATAAGTAGCAGAATTGAGGTATCACCAAACAACATTCACACTAAAACACACATACAGTCCCGAGGAACTAGCATTGTTCTAGCCATTTATGCATTTACTTCCCAAATGGGTGCATCTTTCGCTAGTTTCTCTCCGGAGTCACACACCTGGGGCATCACAAACCTTCTATATTATAAACCTTCATTACTAGCCATAAACTTGTCAACTATATTTTTCCACCTACTAATTTTCTTCAAACCAACAGAGTTTCCTTGAATTATTCCAATTTCCATTTTACATTGGTATCTTACTTATTTTTTAATTTCAGCCTACTCTAACACTTTATTGCTTTTCCAGTGCCTAGCTAGAATTATCTTAGCTGCCATTAAAATGTGTATTATTAACATGCTTTTTTCAATAGGCATAGAGGGCCATCCCTGATGTAACAAAAAGCTCTGTGCTGTGAAAGGTATATATATATCTGGCAGGTATTATAAATCTGTTGATAGATATTCTTCCATGTATTGCTTAAAGATTTACATTGCCACCATACATTGAGATAATCTCCTTTCCCATCATCACATCTCCAACAAACATGATTCTGATCTTTATAAATTTTAGCCAGTTTTTCTGGGACCATATACCATCTGTTTATAAAAATTCTCTACTATATTCAGACAATGTACCGATTTATTGACCTTAACTATCGCACTTATCATATCTTGCTCAGTAATTTCAATATGTAGATATTTTTCCCACTTGATCTTAAATTTCCAGACATAGGGCTTCTGAGAGTCCTTTAAGAACTCGTAACATCTAGTAATATGGCCTTTAATTCTATGAGTTTCCAAAATCTTTTTAAGATTACTTGAGGTTTTATTAACCTGGAAATCCAAGAATTTCACCAAATAAAACTTGATTCTTAAATATGTAAATATCTCCGTGTTATCAATCTCGAACTCTATTTGTAGCTGGTTGAATGGCTTGATTCCCTTTCTATCTATAATCTCTTGAATATTCTTAATTCCCTTCTGTGACCATCCGCTGATATTAATATCCCCAATATTCCCCTTAATCGCCTCTATGGGTAAGAATGGAAAAGTCTGTATTCTATTTTAAAGTCTTTCTTGATTTTATTCCAGTGTCTCAAAATACTGTCAATAATAATCGAATTTCCTGGACATACTGGTTTGCTCTTATTTTTCTCCTTTCTTGTTGCCCAAAATAGGGTGGACATACGGTCTGTCTCTACTAATGATTGCTCTATTTGGTACCAGGCTTGATCTTTTTGATCTGTACTTAAGGTATTAACAGCATGTGCCGACATCCAGGCATTGTGATAATCTCTTATATTTGGGCAGCAAGACCCCATTCTTTTTTTTTTCTTAGATAACAAATGTAAACTTATTCTGGGTTATTTACCCTTCCAAATGAATTTAGAGAAAGCTGACTGTATCATTTTTAACCAGGGAATTGGGACTTGTATGAGCGAATAGTGTTTATACGCCCTATCCAGGAAATCTCCCTACTAGCCCATTCTTTTAAGGTTTTATCTGTATATTTTATGAGGGGGAGAAAATTAACCTCTATAACTTTTTTTATGTTTCTTGGTATTTTAATACCAAGGAACATAGTATTGTCCTTTGCCCAGACAAAATCATAAGATATTTTAATAAAAAGCTTATATTCACTAGATATATTAGTTATCATTATTGTAGTCTTACTAGTATTTAATTTATAATTTGAGTATTCACTATACTGACCTAGTATCTTTATCAATTCCGGCAGCGAGGATCTAGGATTCTACAACATAAGCATGACGTCGTCAGCATATAAATGGATCTTATGTTCTACTTTATTTAACCTGAGTCCCTTAATCTTCCCATTTTGCCTTATATCTTCCGCCAGGGGCTCGATGGTTAAAACATAAAGCAAAGGGGACCGGGGTCAGCCCTGTCTAGTGCCATTCGTGATATTAAACCAGTCTGCATCTATTCCTAGACCTACCGTCCTTGCTGAAGGTATAGTAAATAATGCCATAATGGCATCATAGACTGCCCCCACTATGCCATACAACTTCAATGCATTCCCCAGAAAATCCCATCTGACCCTGTCAAAAGCTTTCTCAGCATCCAATGACAGGGTCAGAAGGGAAACATTCTTCCTCGATGCAGCATCATGAACATCCAATATCCTTCTGAGACCACCTGAAGCTGTTTTGCCAGGAATGAATCCGGCCTGGTCCTGGTGTATCAGGGCGGAAATACAGATTTTTTAGCTGTCTGCTATGATCGAGGCATAGATCTTTACATCTCCGTTGAGAAGAGATATAGGGCGGTAATTCGCCAATTTAGCTGGATCTTTGTCCGACTTCAAGATTGGGACAATATTTGCTTGAAGCATCTCTTTAAGAAATGTACGATTTACCACTATCTCATTAAATATCCTAGCAAGACGCACTAAAAGAGTATCTCTGAATATCTTACAGAATTTATTTGAGTAAACGTCCGGGCCAGGGGCTTTGTTGATCTGTTACTTATTTATTGCTACTTTAATGTCATCAGAAATTATTGGTTTATTTATTTCCATAAATTGTTCTCTAGTTATTTTAGGCATTTTTTGTTTTTAAAATATTCAGATGAGGGAACTTGTTGACCTACAGATTCTAAGTTATATAATCGGCTATAATAGTCATTAAAGGATGACCTAATTTTCTTTGGGCACCAAAACGTTTCCTTTTCGGTCTCAATTTTATGAATCCTCCTGAGTTGTTTTTTATTTTTCAATTTATAGTACCAATTTATCTTTAAGGATTGTAAATTTCTATTTTTTTCCTCAAATAATAATTCATTTATACTATTTTGCGTTAATAACATTTTTGTACTTATCTCCTGGGTTGGTGAGGCTTTATTTTCATTAGATAATTTATAATAATCAACATAGAGATCCATCAGGGATTTCCCCTCCTTTCTTTATCAATTGTACCCAATTTAATTAGATAGCCTCTTGTAACACATTTCTATGCGTTCCATACTACTGGGAGTGAGACTTCTCCACCCTCATTTTCCTGAAAAAACCTTTCTGTCATCTCCTCAATATATTCTCTATTTTCTTTTCTAGAAAGGATGTTATCATTTAATCTACAGTTTGTTCTTCTAGCACTATTGTTCTCTATGTCCAACTCCAAAATTATAGCATTATGGTCGGACCATGAGACTTCATCTATAAGAACTTTTTTAGTACAATTGGCCAAACCATCATTACCCAAGAATAAGTCAATTCTTGAATATGAAAAATAGGTTCTAGAGAAACATGTAAAATCCCTCTCCATTGGATGAAACACAAGCCATATATCCATTTATCCATATTTCCTGAGTATCTTTTGAAATTGAACTGCCTGCGAAATTGCAGCTTTATTTGGCCCAGCAATATTTAATGTTTTTCTGTCTAAACTAGCATCCAGAATTCGATTGAAATCCCCCGTTAGAAGTAGTTTACCCTGTTTTATTTTTTAAACTTTATCTAAAAGATCACAGAAATACTTATTGGAAGGATTATTAGGTGCATAAATATTTACTAGAGTATAAATTTCTGTTTGAATTTTGATTATCAGTATTATAACTCTAGCTTCATCGTCTATTTCTTGATAAATTATTTTAGCATCTATATCGTCACTTATCAGAATAGCCACCCCTCTCTTCCTCTGCTTCTCTAATGAGGCGGATACTACTATTGAAAACCTTTATGCGACAAATCTTAAACTGTCCTCTCTTCTGCAATGCGTCTCTTGTAAAAAGATAATTTGAGCTTTTTCTCTCTTAATTTAGTCAAACAAAATCGCTCTCTTACAAGGAGAATTTAGGCCCTGAGAATTTAACGATATAATTTTAACCATTACAATTTTTCATCCTCATGTCAATCGATAAAAAATTCTCCCAAATCCAGAATCCATTATGCATAATCTTGATGGACTTGTTTTGTAAATTTCTTCCTGGTCTGAATTTGAGCCCCCGCCCCCGCCGCTAACACACTAACCACGCCAATCATACACCATCCCCTCATATATGAGGGGCATTCATACAAATAACCTTGAGTCCTACACTCCGGGTATAGATCCCAAAGGGGAGAAACCCCTAATTGGGATCTTGTCCTCATCAGGATAACTCCTCGATAAGGAAAAAGGAAAAGGCTGAGCTATGACCATCCCATCTTATTAAATTATTCCTTCGCCTTCTAAATTGCTACAACAATATCCAGAAACCTCCCCGCTACAAGTAAAGTTACCAAAACCTTTTACCCTTCAAAATTTGAAATCCCCGACTGTAAAATAATCCTATGAAACCCTATAATCTCACAATTATTTGGAGTCCCATCCCATCCCATCTTTACCACCAAACCTCGCATTAGAACTATTAATGTGGTTACTTCTATATGATACTAATTCTTTTTACCCATGTGATTCAAATTTATCAACTTGTACGAGTGTAATATATATCAGTTTTGCATTAATTTTTTTCAAGTGCTACACAATTTTGAAAAACGGTGCACTACCCTAATAAATTAAAAATGAACCCAATGGTACATAAATACATCTACCATTATTTTTCCTTGTATTCCTTACTAACAGCAATAATTTGTTTCAGCAATCCAACTTGCTACTGTACAACGTGATTCCCTCCCCTATCATGTTTACATGAAATATACTCTATTTTTGTCCTTATCTCTGTTCTATGTATTACCCTTACTACCTTACCCCAAGATACATCATTATATTCAAACAAGCCATATTTTATACCTTTCAAAAGAAAAATACACCCTTTGTACTTAGTGCATTCCATAAACATTAAGACTAAACCCTTAATTTACTATCTCTTCTTCTCACCCCCCCACCAAAAACAAAACAGGAGTTATCGGTTAACACCTCCACCTATTTTCTTGTATTTATATAAGTGAGTAACTCTCCGCATGAGGCAGAAAGATCTCATTACATAGCTAAAAAACCATGCAAAATTAAACCTTACTTTCCAACCAATTTGTGATCTTCTTAAGTGAAACAGTATATACGTAAGCCCATCTATCACCGGTATTTAAAATTATTTTCCCTTAAAGGACCACTCTAGGCACCCAGACCACTTCAGCTTAATGAAGTGGTCTGGGTGCCAGGTCCAGCTAGGGTTAACCCATTTTTTCATAAACATAGCAGTTTTACAGAAACTGCTATGTTTATGAATGGGTTAAGCCTTCCCCTATTTCCTCTAGTGGCTGTCTCATTGACAGCCACTAGAGGCGCTTGCGTGCTTCTCACTGTGATTTCCTATGTGACCGGTTGAATGCGCGCGCAGCTCTTGCCGCGCGTGCACATTCAGCCGACGGGGAGGAGAAGAGGAGGAGAGCTCTCCGCCCAGCGCTGGAAAAAGGTAAGTTTTACCCCCTTTCCCCCTTCCAGAGCCGGGCGGGAGTGGGACCCTGAGGGTGGGGGCACCCTCAGGGCACTATAGTGCCAGGAAAACGAGTATGTTTTCCTGGCACTATAGTAGTCCTTTAAGCGAAGAGTAGCCAGGATCCAACATTTATTTCAAACAAGCCATATTATATACGCTAAAAGAACACACAAAAAAAATAACACTTCCTGTGTGCTCTGTGTTCTCTTTAAAAATCAAATTTAGACCTTTAAAGTGCTATTTCTACATTTTCACAAAGGAGCTCGGAATTATTTGTTAACATATTAAACCTATTCCATTTTAAATATAATAATGAATCAATTTGAATACAAAACAGGAGATATCACCTTACTTATTCCAATTCTATCCATTAGTAAACCATATTTTCCAACCAATTTGTGACCTTTTCGAGTGAATCAAATGTGTGCGTAATCCCATCTTTAGTAACTATCAGTTTGGTTGGGAAGCCCCACCGGTATTTTAAATTATTTTCCCTTAAGCGCAAAGTAGCTGGCAGGAATTGCTTCCTCGCTTTTCTTGTCTGGAAAGACAAATCCAGGAAGACCTTTATATCATTAATTTGCCTTGATCTCTTTCAATTTGTCTTGCCGCTTTTAGAATTTTTTCTCTAAAAGAATAGGAGTGACAAGCAATGATTGTGTCTCTTGGGAGGTCAGCTGGAAGTGTTCTTGGTTTGTAAAGTCGATGTGTTCTTTCAAGAAAGTCCACTTTATCATCAATATTTATTTTAAGAGCTTTAAAAAAACTCAGAGAGGTAAGTTGCCAAATTATCTTGTGAGATGGATTCAGGGATCTTTCTTATTCTCAAGTTATTTCTTCTGCCTCTTTCTTCTATATTTATGGTTCTCTCTTCAAGATAATTTATCTTTGTTTGTTGTTTCTCAATAATCTCACTTTGCTTCTGTAGAAGAAATTCTAGATTTTCTATTTTTTGTTCGTTGACTTTAACTTTTTGTCCGATCTCCAATATATCTTTCTTTAAAGCGGCAAAGCTCCCCTGCACTTCTATTTTTATTTGTTCCAACTGTAGATCTAAACATTCTTTTAAGTACACTGGGGTGATCATTTGTCGTTCATCTGAGCGTTCCTTTACCTCAGTATCGCTGAAATCTGCAGTTTCCTTACTTAAGGCAGCTTTATTTGGAGTTGATATCTGAGAGATTTCTAAGGTGCTTTTATCTGCTGGGGCATTAAAAAAAAATTTGAAAGTCTCTTTTCCTGTTTATCTTTTTTTCCCCGGTCTTTTTTGGGGGGAGGTTTTAAATCCAGCCTTTGGTCAGCTGTTTTCCTTGTTGCCATTTTCCGGGTCTGATTTCCCTCTATTTTCTAACACGTATTTTATTGGGGAGCTACGTTTAGCAGAAATGCCCTATCAGACGTTTCAAGTTTTTACCACTTTTAAGGAGGTGTTAAATTCTTTAGCTGTTTCCTTCTTATTTCTTTTCCTCCTTTCTTGCTATCCTTCTTTCTCTATCTTCTTTACACAATTCTGTTTGTACACCGCTTGGCTTCTCCACTTACAGCTTCTCCACTTCAGTACTTTCAGAGCTTATTATTGAGCAGTGTATGTCCATATTTTTTTTCCTTTTAATATATATATATATATATATATATATTTTCTGTTTTTCCTCTTCTTTTCTTTCCTTTCACCCTTTTTTTCAATTTTTAAGAGATTGTCCCTTAATTTTTTTTGTAACGATATAATCTAATGAGATGTAATAGTGTATCATTCGTTATCCAGCATACTGTAATTCATTTTTCTGAATTATCCTCTGGTCGGCAAACTGAACAGCATTAATGCATAATTTATCTTTTTGTAAGATAATCAGTCTCTAAAGATCACCCGAATGAACGATTATTAGCATTAGCCAGACTCCCCTGTGATGGATAATTGATTATCAACTGAGGAATTAATTTATCATGGTTCTCCAACTGCAGATTGGTTACAGTCACCATTATTTCAAGTGTTAGCAGGTAATTATGGGAAATGGAGTCCACCAGCATTTGGAAGGCTAAGGTTGAAAATCCTATATTTACTGCATTTAATGCCTCTTTTTCTAACTGTGCAGTACTGCTTGCATTGTTTGTGTATCTATATACATTGATGCAAAGTACCTCTGCCATGATATCTTGGTATTACACAGTGTTGGGTATTGAGCACTGACCTGAAGTCTGCAGTAACACAGAACTCCAATTATACACAGAAGTATAAAGGTTGCTAGGATTCCTCCTGTGATGACTACAGTTCCAGCTGTCATCCGACCAATCCCCCATCAAACCTAGAACAAAGAACGACAAGTTACACAACTCATAGAATATCCATTCATGTTTGAGTTAGTAATGTACCAAGGATTATGTCATTGAGTAGGGCAACAAAGGGCATGATGGAAAATTTAAGAATTTTCCATTTTTGTTTTTTAATAATTTAAATTTTGGTTGATAGATAACTAAATGAACTTTCCAGCAGACATGTTAGGGACAAATTTATTGTAGTTCATTGAATAAAGTATGAGGATTAGAGCTACATCTAATTTGATGAAGTTTGGTTCTCAACGAAGGATTCGTTCTGGAGCTAAACTAAGAAGGAACTTACTGCGATGAAGCTGACAGCAAGTTCCTTATGAGTTTTGCTGATTGGGGCAGCTTATAATAAGTACTGAACCATGCTCCATGATACCAGTTAACCAGGATGAGTTGAGACCAAGTGAATGCTGTTGACTTTCTAAGATAATAAATTGGGGATTGTAGATTGGAATTATTAACTTCTGGGATAAACTTGAGCCAACCTGCCCAATACAATTATCTGCATGATAGAAGGTGCTTAAAGATATATACAATCGTACGTTACGCTACTACACTCAAGTGGGAATCTCTCTCGCCCACCTTAAACAAGCATAAAAAAGTGGAAGGGATCCAAACAGCCGCCAACCTCAAAAAGTGGAGCGTTAGTGCTTTTATAGTGACCACCTACCCTAACTGGGAGCACAGAGTCCTTGTGGAGACTTGAAAAAGGAAAACTATATAATGTAAAAACATTTATCACCATATAGCTAGCAAACTATAATGAGTCCAACTCACATGGATATGTGCCACATAAAGACAGGCTCAAATCATAAGCGCAGTGGTGTATTGAATCACACAGTATCCTTGAAGTTCTGGTACTTTGGATGTTATTTTTTAAAAGAGAAGCAGAGAGAAAAAAGAGGTGCAGACTCCTTGTGAAGTATATCTGGACATGCACAACAGTTAATATAGCCAATATGTAACTATTCACCTTGGCTAGAGCCCACAAGACCTGGCTCTAGGTGAAACTCGCTTTGTGTCAATTAAGGGGACACAACCCTTCTTTAAGCAGATGATATGGAACCACTCAGTGGATGATAAAATAAATGTATTACATATATTAAAAGAAACAATAAAACTTTGAATTAAAAATAAAAGTCAAGTCCAAATAGACCAGTCCTTAAGCCTCGCTTCTCCCGAGACGCATTTCGGCCTGTCATAGGGCTTTTCAATCGGTGTAATCTGCTTACCACTTCCTTTCTTTTAAACATGCCGGTCTTTTCTTCCATTGGTGTTCTTGTGCTCATTGCGGCGGCAAGTACGTGGTGGAAGTGAAACATATCACGTCACTTCCCCCTCCAAAATCTCCATCTAATCTACGGGCAAATGCCATATACTCCACAGGAAGTGACGTAATATTAAGGGCAAAACTTAATATTAAGGGTAAAACGATCTTCATCCGAAGGGTATGTAATACCAGGTATCACTACTCTTGACAATTTTACAATAAATTTAGCAATTCTTGTTTCAATTTATTATGTATGGTTCCACAATATAATTACTCTCTGTCATTCAGAATAAGAAGTAAATGGACCCATAAGAGCTGTTTTATTAAAAACATGAAACAAGTTTGCAATATTTACTTAAAAACAGAAATGTTTGCTGGGTACCCAGATGAAATATGCATTCTAGCTGTAATTTAAAGTAGATATTTAAATTGAATGTCTATCTTTCTGTGCCATGCATACATAGTCTAGTTCAAGATAATGGATTATACTTATCCAAAAGATCTAAATTAACCTCTAGAACTAGTGCGTGGGAACGTAACTTCAGATACTGGAGTTGGAACAGAGTGCAGGAAAATCGAATCTGTTACAGATCTTCTGTTCACTAAGCTACATTGGAAAGACGAAAGACTGGACTCTGCCAGATTGCTTGTTCCTTCATACTAGATAGGAAATACTGAGCCAGACATACCGCTCGGTCACGCTAAATATCAAGATGTGTTATAAGGAGGTTTTGTCAATAAGTAATTCCAAAATATTAGTCCAACTTAGATTGACCTCATCCATTTGCAATGTGATTTACAAATGTCTCTAACAGTATTACAATTAGACTGGAAATATTAGTTTATTAAATGCAATGCTGCATAATATCTAGTTTTTAATGATGGTGAAACGAGTAGTATTCATACATTCTGTACAAGAACAGATGACAGTCTTACACTGTATGAGCTGTGCTGTCTGCAGGACTTGACTCACTGGAACTATCTATGAACCCAACAAGACATCCAATTAGTTCTGCAAAACAAAGCAGGAGTTAATGAGACTTGTAATTCTAGAACTCTGAAGACATTTTAATAATAACAATTACTTTTTCATCACAACTTTGCAGAAACCTCTGTTCATCTGGACAGACAATGGAATGATTGGATTTTTAAGATTACATATTCTGGACCCCAGTTCTTCAATGGGGGTTTCAGTCCACGCACCACATACACTGATCAACCATAACATTAAAACCACTGACCGGTGAAGTGAATAACCTTGATTATATCGTTACAATGTCACCTGTCAATTGATGGGATATATTATGCAGCAAGTGAATAGTCAGTTCTTTAATTTCATTTGTTGGAGGCAGGAAAAATGGGAAAGTGAAAATATCAGCTCATTTGGGCAGGGTCCTCTTCAACCTATTGTTCCTGCAATATTTTGTAATTGTCTCATTTATTGTTATAATATTGTATAGAACTCCAGAGTAAGTTGGCACTATATAAATGCCACAAAGAATAATAGTTAATTGACTTTAACAAGGGCCAAATAGTGATGGTTAGACAAATGGGTCAGAGCATCTCCAAAATCGTGAATCATGTGGGGTATTCCTAGTATGCAGTGGTTAGCACCTACCAAAAGTGGTTCAAGGAAGGACAAACTATGGACCGACTTCAGGGTCATAGGTGCCCAAGGCTCATTAATGGATGTGGGAAGCAAAGGCTAGCTCATCTGGTCCGATCATACAGAAGAACTACTGTAGTTAAAATAGCTGAAAACGTAATACTGGCCATGATAGAAAGGGTACACAACAAAATCAAACACAAGTTTTTAGAGGGCCTTCAATATAAATCCACTTTTCTTCAAACTCCATGGATCATCAATCTTCAACATAATAAGTTTATTGAGAACCTCAATAAAAATGAATGAGATTGAAATAGTGCAGTACACCACATAAATAAGATCAGCAGTGCATTTATAATATACATAAATTAAAACCAAATAAGATGAGCATGCAATCAATTTCACTAGCGATGAGGTCACTAATACTCCCCACCCAATGAGTTTCATCACTCCATGTCACTTCCTCAGGGGTTCTTTTAATAATGAAGAGGCAGTCCTTACCACACTTCATGATGGGTACACTGCTTTACAAGCATGCAGGTTGCAGGATTATTCACTAACTTTCATAAATTAATTAAAAATTGTAAAACAGGTAAAAATAGTCAATCTGTGATTATGGCTGATTAAGAGAATTTCTCCAGATGAGCTATTTGCCTCAGTTTTGCCATTCATGATTAATGAATGTGACCAGATATACATGGTGTTTCAAAAATCTCCCTCACTGGCCAGCTGATTCTCCAGCTGTGGGGCAAAGCCGACATGGGAGAGCTCCTGCAGGGCCGGTACACAAGTATAAAGGAGAGTTTATTGTATCAGAGCATTGCCGCAAGTTACTGCTGCAATCCCCCCACGCTGGCAGGAAGCAACATCTCCCTCTGGACCACCAGGGAACAGGTTACTTCCTCCCTGGACCAGGTAAGCATCAGGGATGGGGGTATACACCTTAGTTTCTGTTTTTTTTAAACAAACATTTTTATTAAACATCTCTCCCATACTACAATCCTAGTCCTCACACTAAAGGCCCCTGTCCTCCTACAATAGCCACGATACCCCTCTACAGCCACTATAGCTTCTATAACCCCAATCACAGCCTTATCACTATACCACAGCCCAATCTTCCACACCTCAGCCCTTGTCTTCCCATCCACACACAACTAACAAACACATAAGCAGCATCCCCCCACATATACAACGCTACAAGCAGATACCTTTGTAGCGGAACCCCTTTTTGGTTGTCTCACTCCCTTTTGATTGTTGGCCCTGCAGAGATTTTCCTATGCTTGGAGTACACAAAACTCTAAGTAACAGTTTATGGACCTCTATTAGACTGTATATGGATTGTGTATAGGAAGGTGTACCCCTACCCCGTTTCCTGTCCCATTGTTCTCGAGCAGGGCGTTGTCCCAGGCACACTGCCAGACTAGTTGGAGCTGGTTTGGGCTGGAAAGCCATGCTTCAGTGGGCCTAAAGGGACCTCCACAAAACTTTAAACCCCCATAACTCCTGAACCCTTGATCTTATCTGGGTGATTTTTGGATATGTGTCGCACCCAGATCAGGGTTACCAGGGGATGTAATATTTAAAGGGGTTCTCCTAGGTTTAGGGGTACATCCAGAAAACCAGGGGAACTGTGTCCTGCATAATTGGATTATGTGTCACACTAAGGGGAGGGCATGTGTGGGTGGCAATTCGTGTATGATTGGTGTATTGTGTATTACTGTAAATCCCTCCCTTGCATGGAGAATGCTTTAAAAGAAGGTTGTTTGATTAAAAGTTCAGTTCTACTCCTGATACTGTGTGTCGTCCAGGGATTGGGGAAAGTGATAGGATATTATTGGATTGTATTGCTGATTGTGCTGGATATTCTATTGGATTTATTACTTGTTCCTGCATCCTCTTAAAGTACTTGGTGGAGTTAAGCTGTGGGAAATCAGCTCTCCGCTACATTGGTTGGCAGCGCCGGGATCCAGACCCAAAGAGGAGCAAGTACCAGGAAAGACAACAGCATTGATGGATCACAGATGGAGATCAATTGCACCACTTTAAAGCGATCCACTTTAAAGGACCTCCTGGAAGCCAGGGGTATTCCCGCCAGCAACAGTCCTGGTTGCAGAAGTCATGGCGGAATACAGAGCAGAAGAGGGTCCGGCTTTGGTGCAGAATAACCCAGCAGAGGAACAGGGGCGGTTGGAATTGCAAAGAGAACTGCAATTCCGGCTGTCATTTTATGGGGAAAACCCACAAACAGAGATTATCTCCAGAACCATGACAGAGGTACAGGAGTTTGTACTGCGACAGAGGGTCCAACAAAATCCAGAGGGGAACCAGATCGTGCCCATGGTACAGGAGAACAAACCAAAGGTACCGTACGAGGCTTTTAAGACTTATGTGGAGGCAGAGGAAGAAATTGATGCCTTTTTAGAGGATTTTGAAAGGTTGTGTCACCTGCATAAAATAAATGTCGAGGATTGGGTTCCCATTTTAGCAGGGCGGCTAACGGGCATAGCAGCGGAAGCATACCGCACAGTACCAGATGACGAACTAAGGGATTATCACCGGGTTAAGGAAGTCATACTGGCCAGATATGCCATGACACCTGAAGCGTACCGAAGGCGGTTCAGGGACCTTAAAAAGACTGGTAAAGATTAACACGCAGAATGGGCTTGCCGACTACAAAGAGCGGCGCTGGGTTGGATACAGGCGAACAAGGCGCAATCCATGGAGGATTTGTTACAGATGATATTGTTGGAGCAATTTTTCGACGGATTGGTGCCAGATATACAAGAGTGGGTGAGGGATCGCAATCCTACAAACATCACTGAAGCAGCTCGAAGGGCAGATGACTACCTAGATGCCCGGAGGCAACAGAAACCGTCCCTGAATAAAGTTATAACGCACCCAAATATGGCGCCCACCTATGCGCCCAGTACGACAGCCCCACCACGACAACTCCCACCACCGGCAGGCGCTCCAACCCAGTTCAGACAGCCTAACAACATTAAATGTCACCAATGCCAGCGCTGGGGACACTATAAAAAAGAGTGTCCACAACTGCGAGATCGCACCACATGGATCCGGCCTGGTCCACCACCACCACGCAGAACAGTAACCCATTGTTACCAGACAGAGGCTGCAATGACCTATGACGCTTGGGTTCACACCACCACAGTAGAACAGTGGGAAGTGCTCCATGAGGCAGATCCTCTACAGGCCCATGCAGACAATCGACAGCACCATCGGCAGACCGTGTACCTAGAGGGAAAGGCAGTACAAGGGATTTGCGATTCTGGAGCCACTATCACTTTGGTAAAGAGCCACCTAATTCCCACAGAAGCAAGGACCAGCAGGACTGTAGCCGTAAGGGTGTCACGATAGTGACCCCTTCACACAGATGGTAACCCTGAAAGGGACGTATACCGGACCTTAGGGTGGCCGGACTTAACGTCAAAGAATAGTCAAGAAAAAGCCGAGGGTCAAGGGAGTACGGAAATCGGGATATACGAAAAAACCAAGCCAAAAGTCAGGGAGCCAGATAGGAGAATAGTCCGAATGAAAGCCAAGAGTCAAAATACCAGAAAAACAGCTAAACAGTAAAAGAGCACTAGGGGAACAATCAAGAACCACACTAGGGCACTGAGGTGTGGACAGGAATGCCCTTTTATACTAATGTGTGTGTCACTTTAAAGCCACGCCCCCAAAAGGTTCGGGAGCGTGGCCGCGTTTGAATTTTCGCGGCAAAATCATTATGACGTCGGCGCGCATGCCGGGGAAGCTGTCGTGCCGCGCGGGATCGGCGGACCCAGGTAAGGTATCGTTACAGTACCCCCCCCTCGAGGACCGCCCCCAGGGTGGGCAGGACAGGGTCCGCGAGAACGACTCCTAGCAAAGGAACGGACTAGGCGAGGCGCGTGCACGTCCGAGGCATCAACCCATGACCTTTCCTCGGGACCGTACCCCTTCCAATCCAACAGATACTGGAGCCGACCTCTTGAGATACGAGAGTCTAAAATAGACCTAACCTCGTATTCGTTTTGGCCATCAATGAGAGTAGAACGAGGAGACCTGGGTTTACGAGTAAAGCGATTACAAATCAAAGGTTTCAGAAGAGAAACATGAAAGGAATTGGGTATCCTCATATTAGCTGGTAAATCCAGGCGATAACAGACTGGATTAATCCGTTGGAGGATCCTAAAAGGACCAATGAATCGCGGAGCAAATTTCATAGAGGGGACTCGTAATTTAATATTGCGTGTACTCAACCACACTCTATCTCCCACTATAAAATTCGGAGCATTCTTGCGCCGGGTGTCCGCTTTGCTTTTTTGAGCATCGGCCTTATGAGTCAGGATACGCTTGACCCCTAACCAAGTTTCTTTCATATTCCTCACAGTATAGTCAACACTAGGCACAGCGGAGGATGAAAAAGAACTCGGAAGAGTAGTAGGGTCAAAGCCATAATTTACAAAAAAGGGGCTATGTTGTGTTGATTCGTGAACCCAGTTATTGTGGGCGAATTCAGCCCAAGGGAGTAACTCCTTCCAATCATCTTGGTGATCGGAGATGAAGCAACGAAGGTACTGCTCTAGTGACTGATTCATTCTCTCAGTAACTCCGTTGGATTGGGGATGGTACGAAGAGGAGTGGTTAAGTTTGATACCTAACTGAACACAAAACGCCTTCCAAAACCTGGAAACAAACTGTGAGCCTCTGTCAGAGACTATGTCTGTAGGGATACCATGTAAACGAACCACCTCCCTTATGAATATCGTGGCCAGTTCTGAGGATGAAGGAAGTTTAATTAAAGGGACTAGGTGGGTCATTTTGGAAAATCTATCGATGATAGTTAGAATCACCCGGTGATTTTTTGAAGGTGGCAGGTCTACTATGAAATCCATGGCGATACTTGACCAGGGCATTTCGGGAATAGGTAACGGCATGAGGAGGCCTAAAGGACGACTTTTAGGAGACTTACTAGAGGAACAAATGTTACAGGCCAGGACATATTCTCGAATGTCCTTCTTGTAAGAAGGCCACCAGAATTGCTTTTCGAGTAGTGCTTCTGTTTTATGGATACCGGGATGACCGGCAATCTTAGAGTCGTGTACCAAGGATAGGATTCGTCTTCTATAATTGAAGGGTACGTATAATTTCCCCTGAGGGATAGTCAGGGAGTTGTGGTTTTGACATTTAGACAATACTTCTATTAAGCTAGAAGAGATTTTAGTACGTACTGTAGCCACTATTTGTGAAGTAGGGATTATAGAAGATAAATGGGTTACTGGTGGGGATATGTGCTCATGTTGCCGAGATAAGGCATCTGCTTTTGTATTCTTAGAACCGGGTCTGTATGTCACTAAGTAATTAAAACGTGTTAGGAACAAAGACCAACGAATCTGCCTGTCAGTCATTCTTTTAGCTTCTCCAAAATAGGAGAGGTTCTTGTGATCAGTGAAGATGATGATCGGTTCAGATGTCCCCTCTAATAGATGCCGCCATTCTTTGAGTGCTGAAATGATAGCCAACAATTCCCTATCACCTATATCGTATCTTCGTTCTGTTTCCGTCAGTTTTTTAGAAAAATAGCCACAGGGATGCAGGGGCTGGTCATTCGAGGATCTCTGAGAGAGTACAGCCCCTATCCCTGTCTCAGAAGCATCCACTTCTAGCAAAAAAGGACGCAAAGGATTAGGGTGACTTAACACCGGGGCTGAAGAAAAGGCTAGCTTCAATTTTTCAAAGGCTTCCTTAGCTTCAGTACTCCACACCGTATGACTTCTATTCTTTTTTGTCATAGCGGTAATAGGAGCGGTAATAGAGGAAAATCCTCTGATAAACTTTCTATAGTAATTAGCAAACCCCAGGAAACGTTGGATGGCTTTTAGTCCAACGGGTAGGGGCCAATTTAAAATGGCTTCTAGTTTTTTGGGTTCCATTTGAAAGCCGGAACCGGAAATTATGTAACCCAAGAAATTAACCTTCTCCACGTCAAATAAACATTTTTCTAATTTACAGTAGAGTCCGTTCTTTAATAATTTGGATAATACTATTCTAACATGCCTATGGTGCTCCTTGATATTCTTAGAGTAGATGAGTATGTCATCTAAATAAACAACAACAAACCTTTGTAGATAGTCCCTTAATACATCGTTTATAAAATCTTGAAAGACTGCCGGAGCGTTGCATAAACCGAAGGGCCTAACCCTATATTGATAATGGCCATAGCGAGTATTGAAGGCCATTTTCCACTCATGTCCCTTCTTAATACGAACTAGATTATAAGCTCCCCGTAGGTCTAGTTTAGTGAATATGGTAGCACCCTTTAACCTATCAAAAAGCTCAGTAATGAGCGGAATAGGATACGCATTTCGTATTGTTATTTTATTTAATCCCCGATAATCGATGCAGGGTCTTAGGTCACCTTCCTTTTTGGAAACAAAAAAAAACCCTGCACCAGCCGGGGAGGATGATTTGGTAATAAAACCCTTTTTCAAATTTTCTGTGATGTACTCTTCCAGTACTTTGTTTTCTGTTACAGAGAGGGGATACACGGTACCCCTAGGGGGCATAGTACCAGGCAACAAATCAATAGCGCAGTCATAAGAACGATGGGGTGGTAATTTGTTTGCTTCCCTTTGTTCAAAGACTGCCTTGAGATCCCGATATGGTTCGGGTACTTGAGTGGTTAATGGTTCCATGGTAGGAACGTTGAGGAGTCCTATAGGTTTAACTCGACTGATACACTCCTTAAAACAAGAATCACCCCATTTTACTAACTCTTTCCTCTCCCAGTTAATTAGAGGATTATGCTTGGTAAGCCAAGGAAACCCAAGTATAATCGGAAAGGTAGGAGAAGGTATTTGCTGTAAGATTATGGTTTCTTTATGCAACGAACCTACAGTCAAGACTAAGGGTTTGGATTCTTGAGTAATAAAAGGAATGGATAATGGTCTACCATCTATGGCCTCAACGGCCAAGGGTGTTGTGACGAAGTGCCCTTCGCCACTTGGTCCTGGAGAGGCCTACTTGCCAGCCTCCTCCCCTGTGACTATGACTCTTTCATCTATCTGGCTTTAAAGCCCCTAGTCTACCTTCAGACAGACTATTTATGTGGGCTGCTTTATTTATCCTATGTTTTAGTCACCCTGTACCCATGATAGGTGCAGGGTGTGTGTAATGTAATTGTTTATAGTTGTGTGTACTGTGAAATGTATTGCCTGCTCTGCTGTACTGCTGAGGTTTGCTACCAACTAGGTGGGTTTGGCTATGGAGCTTGTCTAGTGCCCTCTGTTGGTAGCAACAGCAATATGCACTACCTGAATTGCAAGACTGGTTCATTTGCATATTCGGGTAGATTTGCATATTGCTAATTCTGCAGGCAGGTGAGATATTTACTGTTAAATATTGTCTCCCCCCACCCCTTTAAAAATGTGCCATTGTGTTGTGATAAGTCACTGTGTGTTGCTTGATATGGTTTGACTGTTTGTGATTTTATTGAGGTTTCACAACAATGTTATTGTGGTGACCCTATTGGCTGGTCCCAAGGGAAATAAAGGTTTTGACAGTTCTTCTTGATCCCTCTAAATGTAGCCTTGTCTCGTTATTGGAGGGAGCTGTTATAATCACACTGGGGATTGCTATGCTCTGCATGCTCCCCTGAGCTTGAGTCACTTAGCTCTTTTAAGAGCTGTTCCTGTTATGCTCTCCTGGAGGAGAGGTCATCCCCACACGGTCCTGGAGGACAGAAGCTGATCCAGGGTGGAAGGAAGACGGCGAGACTCCAGTTAAGCTACGGCGGTTGTGGAGTCTGCGGTGCTTGTGGTGTCTGCTGCAGTGTTTGGAGTCCTCAGGAAGCGCTAGGAGCATCTATCAACGGAGGGTACTCGGTCGGAGTACAAGGAGCTCCGTTACAGGTGTTGATCTTTCTCGAAATGGGAGGTTGTGGTGTTGGCCGAAAGTACGGTCAATAAAGTTCTCAGCTGCCCCAGAGTCTATTAGCGCAGAAGTATTTATTAACTTTTTCTCCCATTCTATAGTTATCGGTAGAAGAAGCCTGAGTTCTTTTCGATCTTGGAAGGAGGACATACACGTTACACCAAAGGCCTGTCCTCCTTGAGGGCTTAGGCATTGGAGTTTTCCGGCCGGCTTGGGCAGTGTAAGCGGGTATGTCCTCTTTTCCCACAATACATACAAAGTCCCTCCCTTCGTCTATATTGTCTCTCAGGTTCAGACAACCGTGTGGCTCCCAGTTGCATGGGTTCTACTGGAGCGACAGAGGTTTCCTCAGATGAAGGAAACGTTAATGCCAGGCGTTCCGGCATACGCCTAGGTCTATCCCTGGTGTTTTGTCTATGTCGGAGACGTTCGTCTATATGTGCTAGATATGTAATTAATTCTTCCAACACATTAGGGAGATCTCGGGTGGTTACCTCATCTAAAAGTTTGTCAGAAAGTCCGTTCATAAACACATCTACAAAGGCCTGCTCATTCCATCTGACCTCTGCAGCATGAGTGCGAAATTCTAGGGCATAGTCCACAAGGGAACGAGACCCTTGTCTCATTCGTAATAGGGTTTTAGCAGCATTGGTACGTCTCCCAGGGGGATCAAATGTTCTTCTAAAGGCTGCGACAAACTCTGCGTAGTTGAAAACTATGGGATTGTCGTTTTCCCACAATGGATTAGCCCAAACTAGTGCTCTATCGACTAACAATGTTATAATATAACCAATCTTTGCTCTATCGGTAGGATATGCCCTAGGATGAAGTTCAAAGTTAATACTTATTTGATTGAGGAAACCCCGACAACCCTTGGGATCACCTCCATAACAGAGAGGGGATGTGACATGGGCAAAAGCTCCCCCTGCCGCCATCTCCAAATGAGGTTCCTGAGGTCTAAGACCCGGGATATGGTCCTCTGGCTGTAGATGTGCAGTCCGAGCTAACAGGGTCTGAACGGCTACAGCAAACTGGTCCATACGATGGTCCAGCTCCTCAAACCGATTATCAGGAACCGGGCCATGAGGATTAGCACCTGCAGGGTCCATGGCCCTAGTGTAATGTCACGATAGTGACCCCTTCACACAGATGGTAACCCTGAAAGGGACGTATACCGGACCTTAGGGTGGCCGGACTTAACGTCAAAGAATAGTCAAGAAAAAGCCGAGGGTCAAGGGAGTACGGAAATCGGGATATACGAAAAAACCAAGCCAAAAGTCAGGGAGCCAGATAGGAGAATAGTCAGAACGAAAGCCAAGAGTCAAAATACCAGAAAAACAGCTAAACAGTAAAAGAGCACTAGGGGAACAATCAAGAACCACACTAGGGCACTGAGGTGTGGACAGGAATGCCCTTTTATACTAATGTGTGTGTCACTTTAAAGCCACGCCCCCAAAAGGTTCGGGAGCGTGGGCGCGTTTGAATTTTCGCGGCAAAATCATTATGACGTCGGCGCGCATGCGCCGCGTCATAAAACGGATTGTGCCGCGAGCGGGAAGCGTCCGAGAGGCTCCGCCGCCTCCCGGAAGTAGCCGGGGAAGCTGTCGTGCCGCGCGGGATCAGCAGACCCAGGTAAGGTATCGTTACAAAGGGTTGCCGGGGGAGCAGTATACCGACTACCCACCGCCTGAGTACATTTGAATTGGGGGGCGGGTCATGGGAATGTGGAAGTGGGGTTGATGCCACAACTCCCAGCGGAAGTTTTGTTGGGGAATGACTTAGGGAAATTGACATCGGCATATGAACCTCAGATCCCAGCGGTTGGAGAGGCCCACCCTATGGTCACACGCCAACAGGCCCGCACCCAGGACTACAACTCACACCCGGAGGTTCAGGTAAAAGATCCTTCCCCATCTGTAGAATGTATACCCTGGGCCCCACCTAGTGAATTTGAAGCCGAGGTAGCCACAGATCCTACGCTACAAGTATATAGGGATAAGATAGCCACAAAGGTGGCAGTAACAGATGGGGAGAGATTCATATGGGAGGGTAAGCTCTTATATAGAGAGACCGAGAAAAAGGTATACGGAGCAGACACAGTCATTATGCGTCAGTTAGTGGTACCACAGAGGTACCGATCCGAATTACTCCGGATAGCGCATGATATACTGCTATCCAGACACCTGGGAGTTAGTCGCACCCGGTGTTGATTGACCCAGAGTTTCTTCTCGCCAGGGATAAGTCAGGAGGCCCGGAGGTATTGCGGTACCTGCGATACCTGCCAGAGGGTAGGAAAAAGGGGAGACCGCAGGAAAGCCAAATTGCACCCCCTACCCATAGTGGAGGAGCCGTTTAGCCGCGTAGCGGTGGACATAGTAGGTCCCTTAAGGAAGGCTAGCCCCTCGGGTAAGAAATACACATTAACAGTGGTAGACTATGTTACCAGGTATCCCGAGGCGGTAGCATTAACTAACATTCATGCAGAAACGGTGGCTGAGGCCCTCATGAAGATTTTCTCCCGGGTAGGATTACCCCGGGAGATCCTCTCCGATCAGGGCACTCAGTTTACTGCAGAGGTCACACAGCAGCTATGGAAATTTTGTGACATGAGGCCAATAATCAGTGCCCTATATCACCCCCAGACCAATGGGCTCTGTGAACGGTTTAATGGAACATTGAAACAGATGCTCCGAACGTTCGCAGAAACCCATCGGGACTGGGAAAGATTCCTACCACACCTCCGGGAGGTACCGCAGGAATCCACGGGGTTCTCCCCATTTGAATTATTATATGGGAGACGGGTCCGGGGTCCCCTGGATCTCATTAAGGAGCACTGGGAGGGAGAACACAGCTCCACAGGTACTCCCATCATACCTTATGTACTGGAGTTTTGGAACTGACTGGAGGAACTAACCCGAGCAATACGGGAGAACCTCCAGGCGGCGCAAACACGTCAGCGCACATGGTATGATCGGAACGCCAGGGACCGTAGCTTTCAGGTAGGACAGAAAGTTTTAATTTTAAAACCTGTCTGGCATGACAAGCTACAGGCTGCCTGGCAGGGCCCTTATAAGGTGCTAGAGCAGCGCTGCAACACCACCTATATAATTTGCCCCTGTGCTGGCTCAGGGGGGCGACGCATGATTCATGTGAACATGCTGAAACCCTACCGGGAGCGCTCTGACGAGGTGACAGCCATTTGTGCACCCCCCTCTGAAGAGTTTGACAACCTTCCCCTTCCAGACCTGCTAGAGGACAGGAAATCAGGTAGCGACATAGCCGAGGTTAAGCTGGGGGAGCGGCTGAGTCCTCAGGAGCGTAGTGAGGTACAACAGTTGCTGAGGGAAAAACAAGAATCCTTCTCTAATGTACCAGGTTACACGCCCCTGGCAACTCACTGCGTAGAAACCCCAGGCCAGTTACCTATGCGCCAAACCCCATACCGCATACCAGAGGCAGTGCGGGAACACATGCGCCAGGAGATCAATGAGATGCTCCAACTGGGAGTCATTGAGCCTTCTGACAGCCCTTGGGCTTCTCCGGTAGTCCTGGTACCGAAACGGGATGGTACCACCCGTTTCTGTGTGGACTACCGGAGATTAAATGAGAAAACCGTATCTGACGCCTATCCCATGCCCAGGATAGACGAATTGCTGGACCAGATGGCTAGGGGCCAATACCTTACTACAATTGATCTTTGTAAGGGGTATTGGCAGATTCCTTTAGCCCCAGACGCTATCTCTAAGTCGGCGTTTGTCACACCATTCGGCTTGTACCAATTTAAGGTAATGCCGTTTGGGATGAAGAACGCCCCAGCCACGTTCCAGCGGATGGTAGACCGTCTCCTATATGGGTTCCAAGCCTATACCTGTGCTTATCTGGATGATATTGCCATCTTCAGCAATACCTGGCAGGAGCACCTAACCCATATAGGGGCGGTTATAGACAGGATCAGGGAGGCAGGGTTAACGTTAAAGCCAGCCAAGTGCAGTATTGGGATGGCTGAGGTTCAGTACCTCGGTCACCGAGTAGGTTGCGGTATGCAGAAGCCAGAACCCACAAAGGTAGAGGCCATAGCTCAGTGGCCAACCCCTAGGACCAAAACTCAGGTGTTTGCCTTTTTAGGGACGGAAGGGTATTATAGGAAGTTTGTGCCCAATTATAGCGCCCTGGCCAAACCCCTTACCAACCTTACCCGTAAAAACCTTCCACGTCAGGTCACGTGGACCCCGGAGTGTGAGCAGGCATTCCAACAGCTGAAGAACGCACTGGTAAATGCTCCCATCTTGGCAGCCCATGATCCAACTAAACGTTTTCTTGTCCACACAGATGCTTCTATGTTTGGACTGGGGGCAGTACTGAGCCAAGTCGGGGCCGATGGCGGACAACATCAGTAGAAAATTGTTACCAAGAGAAGTAAGCTACGCCACCATCGAAAAGGAATGCCTGGCCGTGGTGTGGGCCCTGAAGAAATTACAACCGTACTTGTATGGACAGCCATTTTCGTTGCTCACGGATCACAAACCGTTGGTGTGGTTGAACCGGGTGGCTGGAGACAATGCCAGGCTGCTGCGCTGGAGTTTGGCGCTGCAGCCCTTTGACTTTAATATACAATACCGCCCGGGGAAACAGAATGGAAACGCTGACGGGCTGTCAAGACAGACTGAACTGGAAAAATTATTCGTGAGCATCCCCGGACATCCCCAAGTCTATACACATCTGACTGTGTATGCCGGCTTGTGGGCAAGGGGGAGCAGTGTAGCGGAACCCATTTTTGGCTGTCTCATTCCCTTTTATTGATTGTTGGCCCTGCAGAGATTTTCCTATGCCTGGAGTACACAAAACTCTAAGTAACAGTGTATGGACTTCTATTAGACTGTATATAGATTGTGTATAGGAAGGTGTACCCCTCCCCCGTTTCCTGTCCCATTGTTCTCCAGCAAAGCGTTGTCCCAGGCACAGTGCCAGACTAGTTGGAACTGGTTTGGGCTGGAAAGCCATGCTTCAGTGGGCCTAAAGGGACCTCCACAAAACTTTAAACCCCCATAACTCCTGAACCCCTGATCTGATCTGGGTGATTTTGGGATATGTGTCGCACCCAGATCAGGGTTACCAGGGGATGTAATATTTAAAGAGGTACTCCTAGGTTTAGGGGTACATCCAGAAAACCAGGGGAACTGTGTCCTGCATAATGGGATTATGTGTCACACTAAGGGGAGGGGATGTGTGGGTGGCAGTTCGTGTATGATTGGTGTATTGTGTATTACTGTAAATCCCTCCCTTGCATGGGAGAATGCTTTAAAAGAAGGTTGTTTGATTAAAAGTTCAGTTCTACTCCTGATACTGTGTGTCATCCAGTGATTGGGGAAAGTGATGGGATATTATTGGATTGTATTGCTGATTGTGCTGGATATTCTATTGGATTTATTACTTGTTCCTGCATCCTCTTAAAGTACTTGGTGGAGTTTAGCTGTGGGAAATCAGCTCTCCGCTACAACCTTCACATACACAACCCCACAAGCATCACCACACACCCAAACAACCCCACAAGCAGCATCCCCAGAAACATGAAACACCACATGTAGCCTACTCTCACAAACGCAACTTCACAAGCAGCATCTTGACAATCCTCACATTAATGCACACAATCGCAGATCCCAAACATTTTCATATATGTACGTGTGATATATATATGGGTTGCATTGAGGAAACTGGCCTTGAGGCAGCAAGGAGGGTAAACCCAGCCATGGAACTGAGAAGTACTGAGCCATTCTGAGCTGTACTGACTTATACTGAGCTGTGATGGGCTGTGATGGGCTGTACTGACCTATAATGAGCTGTACTGGCCTGCACTGACCTATACTGAGCTGTGATGGGCTGTACTGACCTATAATGAGCTGTATTGGCCTGCACTGACCTATACTGAGCTGTGATGGGCTGTACTGGCCTATACTGAGCTCTGATGGGCTGTACTGACCTATACTGAGCTGTGATGGGCTGTACTGACCTATAATGAGCTGTACTGGCCTGTACTGACCTATACTGAGCTGTGATGGGCTGTACTGACCTATACTGAGCTGTGATGGGCTGTACTGACCTATAATGAGCTGTACTGGCCTGTACTGACCTATACTGAGCTGTGATGGGCTGTACTGACCGATACTGAGCTGTGATGGGCTGTACTGACCTATAATGAGCTGTACTGGCCTGTACTGATCCGATCCGTACTGAGCTATACCAAGCTGTATGGACCTAGATTTAGCTGTACTGACTTATAATAAGCAGTTGGAAGGGTACCGGTGACTCTCACAGACCCTGTATCTTATTTGTATCAATTCTGACACTGAACAATGATCTCCCCATAACCTGTGTCTTTCTGCTATCAATTCTGACACAGGACGTTGCCCTCCGGTGTCATTTTTTTTGAAGCATTTAACTTTGAAGACCGCATTGAAAGTCATGTTTCAGTGTTTGCAGATGACACCAAACTTTGTAAAACAATACAATGTGAGCAAGATATTACTTTGCTGCAGAGGGATTTAGATAGACTGGGGGACTGGGCACTCAAATGGCCGATGAAGTTTAATGTTGAAAAATGCAAAGTTATGCACTTCGGCGTAAAGAATACACAAGCAACGTATACCCTTCATGGAAGCGAATTAGGGATAACAATACACAAAAAGGACTTGGGAATTGTTATAGACAACAAACTATACAACAATGTGCAATGTCAATCAGCAGTGGCCAAGGCCAGTAAGGTATTGTCATGCATGAAAAAGGGCATTCATTCTCGAGACGAAAATATCATTTTGCCTCTTTATAAATCACTGGTAAGACCCCATATTGAATATGCTGTGCAATTTTGGGCACCTGTTCTAAAGAAGGATATTATGGCACTAGAAAAAGTGCAGAGGCGGGCTACAAAACTAATAAAAGGAATGGAACATATCGGCTATGAAGAAAGGTTAACAAATTTAAACCTATTTAGTTTAGAAAAACGTCGCCTGAGAGGGATATGATAACATTATACAAATATATTCGGGGCCAATACAAACCATTGTGTGGAAATCTATTCACAAACCGGACTTTACATAGGACACAAGGCCATGCGTTTAGACTGGAAGAAAGAAGATTTTGTCTAAGGCAAAGGAAAGGTTTTTTTACTGTAAGAACAATCAGGATGTAGAATTCTCTGCCTGAAGAAGTGGTTTTATCAGAGTCCATACAGATGTTCAAACAGCTACTAGATGCATACTTGCAAAAACAGAATATTCAAGGATATAATCTTTCAATGTAGGGTAATAACTACTTGATCCAAGGATAAATCTGACTGCCATTCTGGGGTCAAGAAGGAATTTTTTTCCTAGCTTGTTGCAAAATTGTGCTTCAAACTGGGTTTTTTGCCTTCTTTTGGATCAACAGCAAAAAACAAATGTGAGGTAGGCTGAACTTGATGGACGCAAGTCTCATTTCAGCTATGTAACTATGTAACTTTGTGTCATTACAGCAGATATGCACACGTATGTTCAGGGCATGCAGGAATGACATAGGCCTGGACACATGCACCCGACCTATGTAAACCTCCCATATATGTGACCTTAAATATGGCATAAAACAAGAACACTTAACAGGTATGATAAGGTGACAAACAGGTTATTACATATTTAACCCCTTAAGGACCAAACTTCTGGAATAAAAGGGAATCATGACATGTCACACATGTCATGTGTCCTTAAGGGGTTAAAGGCACCAAATAATTTCCGGATACTGATTGTATAAAAGAACTTGAACAAAGAAACAATGATTATATATATACAAAAAAAAAATTAAAAAAATGTAAAAGCAGATCATAGAAATATTTCCATAGCTGCAAGTTCTGATTATTCAAGCTTCCTTTAACTCCAAGCTGTGTCAGGGAAGAGTTGGCCTATGAACTGTAGTCCATCATAGAGATGCATCACTTCCATATTCCTAAGTACTGTTTGACGGTTGTTAGGTCTGTTTGAAAGATGGACAAGTATTTGTTAAGTGTTTTCGCAGTCCCTAGTGGGTTTCACAGCGGATATAATGTAGAGTAAGATACAGGAGAGCACCGAAGCACATAATACGAAGTGAAAGCAACAAACGACTAACAATGTTCTAAGAACGAGAACATATTTTATATCCAGGAACATGTATCTGCAATTTAACAGATAGTTGGTGATAATCACAAATACAAAGATCCACAGTATCCAGCCAGCAACCAAGGACACAAGTAGATCTTGGGTGTTCCATTTGGTCACCTCTATGTCCGTAACACAGCATGTACCTCGAGGGAGAAAAGTGTGGAGGTACAAGCCAAAAGTGTACGGAGATCTAATCTTTTTCTTCTAGAAAACAGGCATCAATGGACAGCAATAGATGAATAGACACCCAAACCCACTGGATATGACTGTCTAGTCCTATTGGCACTACTTGTGATCTAAATTGTGATTCTGCTGCAATAACTCCTTCCATAACTAGATAGTATTACAACACACAGAGGGTTATTCAAGAAACTGAGAATTCCAAATGAATTTCACATTTACGGTTAAAATAGCAGAATTGGAAGCATACCTGACTTAGAGAATTATTCCAGTTTAGCTACTTTGGATTTAAGCTTGAAATTCACTTTGAAAACACACTTTAGTTAATAGCCTTGTAAATTGACAAAACACTGTTTCATAGCTTTTCATCATGTTGCTATACCATAAAGAAGACAGCAACTGTACTCTCTAGAACAAAATCTGAAAGCTGGGACTGCTAGCAATATGGTTTTTAATGCAAAAGTCGTCATTTATTTCAGTTTGTTATACCAACATTGACCTTGGTTTCAAAACAAATTTTTATTACAGGTATTTTATTACATTTTATATGTTTTTTAAGTGTGACACATAAAGTAAAAGTATGGTGATATATGAAAGAGGGTGCCACTAAAACACAAAATTTTTTTACCTTAGTTTATTTTTTAAAAAGCCAACGTTAAAAAAAGATTTACTATAAAATAAATGGTATGTATAGTCAGTGGGTGGACAAAATAATGTAAAGTCCTGAAATAAATTAATCTGAAATTGCTAATAAAAAAGGACCACTCTTTTCCTTAAGAGAATCCTCAATCCTTTTTGAGTGCTACCATACACATACTGAACTGTGTGTGATGGGATGTTGTATATTTTTTTGACAATTTTTATTTATTTTTTCAAAGAAACAATGATCAGTTGGATAATATAATCAGTGTGGCAGCAAAGAACGTGTCTACATGCATTGGAGATTTAATCCGTATACAAAACCAAAAAATAAAACTGAAGTGAATCCCATGAGATAAAGGTGCAATAAAAGCAGTGAGCCTAGCGAGATACCCCCCTGCTAAACCAATCTAATTAGGCATTGATCCTAAGTGCCAAGTGAACTCTGCTGAAGAGACTAGATAGATAAAATAGAATGAGCAGAGAGAAGACAGGAATGAAACATAGAAAATATCAAGGAAAAGAAAGAGATGACCTCGACCCCACCCCAGTGTGCCATTGAAATGATTGAGAACCACACCATTCTAACTCTAACTCTTGACCAGGAGGAGCCCACCTATCACTTGTTCTAAGCTTGGGGCAAAAATATATTTCCAGTGAGCAGGGATCAACAACCCAGCTGCATTCAGAGAACTAAGAGATAGGTAAGGTTAGGTGCTGAGGTGAACAAAACACTCTCACCCTCAATAGCCTATTAATATTTGAGCTGTAACTTCACATTGTGGACGTCCCATAATGGTGCATTAAAGTTTAGATCTGTGTGATTGAGGAAGCCATTGGGAATGTGTGACTTCATCCTGCAGTTCATGAAACCACTCTAGAATTTATTTAGCAATTTGTTTGAGAACATTATCATTCTAGAATATTGGGGTCAAAAAGTTGCTGTTGTGGTTCCTAATAAAGTTCCTGTCTTGAACCAAGGAGTACCTGGACCTCTATTACTTTACTAATGTTTGGACATCTGGTGTTTGATTCCGGCTCAGCAAGCATCCTGGCTCAGATTTGTGGGAGTGAGTGCAGTTCCACATATACTATTCAAAATCACATTATTTAAGACTGTTCCACAGGGCAAGTCAAATAATTAGCATTTTTCTCTGACTGCTGCACCTTCAACATATATTTGGCCTGTCTCACAAACTGTTAGTTGTGTCATGTTGTTTTGAATCCTTAAATACCTTTTCCCAATTCCTCAATGCTCATAATCATTAATATTTTCATCATCCAGCCAGTGTTAATTTTGTCGACTAACAATTTTAGTCAGATTTTAGTCAAATAAAACTAACGCCATTCAGATAACAAATAAGATTAAAATAAGACTAAAACTAAAATGGCTTCTTAATCAAAAGACTACGACTTAAACTAAATTGAAATTTGCCACCAAAATGAACACTGCATTCAGCTCCAGCAAACCTCTCCCTGAGACATTATTACTTGTTTGGGAATTTTACCTATGGTTCAAGGGAAGGCAACCTTTGGCACTCCATGTGTTGTGGACAACATCCCCCATAGTGCTGGCAAAGCATCAGGGTAGATGAAGTCCACAACGTCGAGCGTGTCAAAAGTTGCCTACTCCTGCTATAGTTTGTCTTGTACTGTTGCATTAAACCTCCACCAACGCGTTCCACGATATCCTGAACTGACTGGCAGGCATGTAATATCTCTAAATTGATAAACAATGGCGGTGGATATTAAAAAGTCTAGCAATATTGCCTTAAACAACTTTACTTCCTGTTTTTACAAAAATATAATCCGTTTTCATTTTCAAAGGAAACTGCAGCAAATGTGTTCTACCTCAGAAAGGGAATATAGTAGATTTGTCAGACTAAAACCACACAGGGAGTTATTTATTGCACCGAATTGCACTGAATTGCAAAAAATGGAAAACCAAACTGCAAAATTTTAGCTGTGACTATAATTTAGTTCTAGATTATTTTCAAATTAGCACTTTTACCCAACTTTTACAATTCCATTATCAATTTACTAGGATCTCATTTGTAATTGATGGGAGTAAGTGCAGTTCCCTACACACACTGGAAGGATTAAATTAAACAATAGCTATTTTCTTTACTATATTTCCTGTTAAAGATGATAACCCTAACCCCCTACTCACATACCTGCCCAGAACAGATTATAAACATATGTTACTATTCTGAGTAGTATGTGAACATTGTCATGCTTCATTCACCATTTCGTAGAGATTTGTACACACATTTTATATTTCCTCTAATATTGATATAATGTACAGTTCATGAGTAGATTATTATAACTTTTTTAAACATATCTGTGGCCTAGCTGTTCCATTTACATTTTTATTTTGGATCTATTTAAAAATTAAAGTGAATGTATCATGAAAGCTCATTTAATAGGATAGGGGGGAAATGAAATACACGTGAGTAAAGGAAGTGCACATAAATAATGGCAGACTATATGCACTGCAATTAATTGTCATTAGCCAAAAAATGGACACAATTCATTTTATACTTAATATGGACAGAGCGAGAGAGATACCTATTGTATCAGTGTTAGATTTAACAGACTTCAAACTGGACAGGACTGAGAAAAAAAAAAAGGATAAGAGAAGCAGACTCTTTACCTCACATTGTTCTTACATAGTCAGATCATGATTTAGAGCTATGTAACTCTCGCCCTTTAACTGTAGGGCCACAATTGGACAGTTATGACGAACACCACCCCTATGTAACAGCTGGCTGTTTTTTGGGTTTTTTTTGTTTTTTTTTAAACTCATAATATACAGAAACATTAACAGATTCACCCCATGAAACAGATAGAAAATATGCAGTTTCCTGTAGAAGATTAACCATTTCCTAGTTGATACCCCATCCCATGTGTAAGCCTGTGACACCCAGGGCATTGTACACCCCCCTGGAACACAAAGGGTTACATCCTCAGTTGCCATGTCTTAAAAAGGAATATGCACAATACAAGGGCAAGCACAGAAGGGAAGCCAACCAACCATACATGATGTAATAAAATGTATAGCATATGGTATATCCAATATACCAATCCAATTAAACAGCTGAATAGCTCAACTCAGGAGAACCAGGTGTGGGAATGTAATTCTCCAGGGATATAGTTATTTATATATATTACATTTAAAAAACAGCCCTGAAATTACAGAATAACAAAAGAATATGGGGGAAAGTGCAGAAAGATTCAGGAGAAATAAAAGAGAGAGAAAAATATAGAAAATGCTCTCAGCATTGAGGACAAGAATCAGCAAAAAAAATGGAGAATATTGGGTAATAAAACAGTGAAATAAATTCAGTGATCTTTCAATGAAGGAATTATTTGTAACAAATAAACTCTACTCACAGCCCTTGTGTCCTTGATTAAAGACTGGCTTTAGCACCTTCTTCCAGATAGTTTTGCAGCAGCCATACAATAATAATAATATAAATATTAAATATTATTAAAATGCAATTCAATGGCGCTCCTTCCTTCCTCCAGCAGCAAGCATTGACAACAGAGAGGGGGGACATGGGTTAGTGGTACTGCTGCCTGCTCCCCTCCCCCAACACTAGGGTTTGTCCAATGAATTGAAATAATAGCTAAGAGATCAGCCCCTTTGCAATAAGCAATCCCTCCATCATCCTATCATAGACACAAACAGGCTGATCATCAATACATTCATCCAGGGACAGATGACAGCATTCAGCCTCCACGTGTACATAAAGCAGACACCATCCCAGCAGAGCACACAATGCTGACTTCAGGGTGTAATGACGACTGTGTGTTCTAGAATGCACTCATTGATACATACTATCCCTGTACAGCATCATTCACCCCCAGGCTGGGAGGCTGACTGGCTCTGGCCATGGTCCTGAAACACCCACTGATTAAAGACTGGCTGATGTCTTGTGGTCCCCAATCCCCAACATCCTTAATTTGTTTCCTTTAACAAACATTTAAATTGCATTAAATATAACCAAAGCCTTACCTTTGTCACTCCATCTGGCTTGCATGCTGTAAATGCACATCATGGAAGAGCTGAAGGGCCAGAGGTTAGTCAGACCTCTATAAATCTGATTTATCTGCAGCCCATCAGAAATCCCTCTATATCCCAAGTCATTCATTAACATCCAAATGTTGAGAAATCCAGAAATCTGAGAATCTGGCTACAAACATAAAAATCATACAATGACTGTCGGTATATAGTTGGATTAGCCTATACTCTTGTCATGAAGGGGTTAATGCCACCTAGCCTAAACTGTGGGGATATAGAATTCTACAGACTGATGTTTAATATACTGCAGGTCCATTAAAGGTGATAACGGATTGTTAAGGAATTTACTTTAGTCTGTATGTGAGCCCCTATGATAGTAAATACATGAGCTTGGGATACTGTGGGTCTATTGCTTCACAGTAATTATACTCACACCCCCAGCTATTAAACTGTTGTTTGCAGTATGTGTGCTTTGATCAATAATCTGTTTTAACCCTTTCTTTGCTCTCAGTGGGTTATTCTGACCCTGTTTTGTCCCAGGATACAGCAATGAGGATCATGTCTCAGCTCACTGTCTATTCACAATATTACACAGTTCAATAAGCAATTCATTGCCGAGTGTCACAAGCCAAGGCCCATTCCACATTAGGAATATAAATGACCCCAAGATTGTTCCCCCGATCCCATGTGTCTTTTCCTCCCATTATGAATATGGTTTGGAGCGAAAGGCACTTAATTACCAATTAACCAATTTCCCTTTATGCCATACTATGTAACTGTACACCATTTTACCCATTTTATATGTGAGAGAGTGCGGCTACACAATGCGTCACAATCCAGGCGGATTGGCAGAATGCAAATCAGTGTTAAGAATCGTAAAAGAAAATGTGCGTATATATATATATATATATATATATATATATATATATATATATATACACACACACACACACACACACATTTTATTTTATTACTTTAAATCAGAACAGGATAAATAACAGACATTCAGCTGTTATAGAACTACAACTACCATGATGCTTTGCTAGCCTGAAAGTTGTAATGGAAAAAAAAAAGAAAGAAGGATTGTTGATGTTAAACGTTTGTTAACTTTTTTATTTATGTTGTTTTTTTATACTTAGGGCAATAAACATGTGTAATGACCAGGGCAGGACTGAGAATGAAAAGCAGCCCTGGAATAGGATTCTATACCAGCCCCATAATGCATCGCGTCAGCATAGTGTGCGGATATGAAAACATGGAAAAAACCCTGAAAACTATCACTGGAACGTGAAAGAAAGCACTCATAGGGCTTCAAAATAAACAAAAGAGCGGATTTGTTGTAAGCAGTATTTCAGTCCAACTACCTTGACATATTAAGGAAAGCTTGGTAATGGGACTGAAATTGTGAATGTATGCTGTTGCACAGCTGTAAGAAACAATTTATGTTATCTTGTTAATTTTGAAGTCCTATGAGTGTGTTCTTCACTTTGGCTGATAGCATCAAACTTGATGATTTCAGTCAATCCAATGCTTTCCCACAGGAAAGCATTGGGAGGCTATTGTGCATGTTTGGCAAAAATCTGTGTGCTCAATCAGCATCTCCATGGGTAGCGTTCAGCACCCAAACTAATACAGTGCCCCCAAATCCAATACACCCTCCACTCTAATACACTGCCCTCTTCACCCAATCTAATACAATACCCCTTAATCTAATACACTGCCCCTCCTCCCTCCACTCGAATTGAATACACTGCCCCTACTCCCACCACTCTAATTTAATACATTGTTCTTCGTCCCCCCAATTTAATACACTACCTCCACTCTAAGACACTTGTCCACTCCCCCAATTTAACAAACTGCTTCCCCTCCCACCACACTAATACACTGCTCTCTCTTCCCCAATTTACCACACTGCCCCCTCCCACCACTCTAATACACTGCCCCAGTGGTGTATGCCCCACGAGGCTAACAATGCATTTGCCTTTGGCGGCACTTTTGGGGGGGGGGGCGGCAAAAAAATGCAGCCTCCAAGCACCCTGGTAGATGCCTTGTTATCCTCTTTCATGGGGGGGACGAAGACCTGGTCGGCTGGCCACCTCAAGGCCCCCCCGAGGGTTCCAGGTGCTCATCTTGCGGGCAGAGCACGCGGGGGAGCATGGTCCTCTGAGTTCTTCTGCTCAGCTCCCTCGCAAATTTATTTTAAGGAGACATTCATTTGCATATAACCAATGTTTTAGTCCAACTACCTTGACATATTAAGAAAAGTTTGGTAATGGAACTGAAATGATGAATATATGCTGTTGCACAGCTGTAAAAAACAAATGATGTTATCTTGTTAATTTTGAAGTCCAATGAGTGTGTTCTTCACTTTGGCTAATATCATCAAACTTGATGATCTCAGCCAATTTAATGCTTTCCCGTAGGAAAGCCTTGGGAGGCTATTGTGCATGTCTGGCAAAAAGCTGCGTGGCCAATCAGCATCTTAATGGGAAGCGTTCAGCACCTCCATGCAGACCCAAACTAATACATTGCCCCCAAATCCAATACACCCTCCAATGTAATACAATGCCCCTTCATCTAATACACTGCCCCTCCTCCCTCCACTCTAATTGAATACATTGCTCTTCATCCCCCAAATTTAATACACTGTCCTCCCCCCAATTTGCCACACTACCTCCACTCTACTACACTGCCCCCCATCATCACCCTAATACAAAGCCCCCCTCCCATCCCAAATTAATACACTGCCCTCCCCTCAATTTAACACACTTCCTCCCCTCCCACCACTCTAATACACTGCCCCAGTGGTGTAATTCCCACAAGGCTAACAAAGCATATGCCTTTGGCGGCACTTTTAGGGGGGGGGGCGGCAAGAAATGCAGCCCCCAAGCATCCTGGTAGATGCTTTGTTAGCCTCTTTCATGGGGGGGCTGAAGACCTGGCCGGCTGGCCACCTCAAGGTGCTCATCTTGCGGGCAGATCATGAGGGAGCATAGCCCTCTGAGATCTTCTGCTCAGCTCCCTCACGCTCCACAGTGATGCTGGGATTCGGAATATGATGTCTCTCCGGCTCTCTGCATCACTAAGCTGCATGAGAGGGAGTTGAGCAGAAGGAATACAGCTCCCTCGCTACCTTTATTGTGCGCCTGCCTGCCCACATGCCCAGCAGCAGCAAGCATTGGAGCAGTCCAGCAGCAGCCATCCCAGCAAGTCCCACTGGACCCCAGGGAAGAATCCACTTCAGATCTTCCAAAGGTAGGGGTGGATTCAAATTCATATTGATATATATATATATTTGTAAGTGTGTGAGAGTGTCTGTATCAGGGTGTCTGTGAGTAAATGCGTGTGTGTCTGTGAGTGATTGAGTGAGTGAGTGTAAGTGTATCTATCAGTGTGTGTCTGTCAGTGAATGTGTGTGTGTCTGCCAGTGTGTCTATGAATTAATGAATGTGTGTGTGTGTGTGTGTCTGTCAGTGTGTGTCTGTGAGTAAGTGAATGTGTGTGTGTGTCTGTCATGTGTCTGAGTGAATGTGTGTATCTGGCAGCGTGGGTCTGTCAGTGTGCCTCTCAGCGAATGTGTGTGTGTCTATCAGTGAGTGAATGTGTGTGTCTGTTTGTCAGTGTCTGTGAGTGAAAGTGTGTGTGTCTGTCAGTGTGTCTGTGAGTGAGTCTGTTTTTGTCATTGTGTGTCTGCGAGTGAATATGTGTGTCTGACAGTGTATATCTGTCAGTGAATGTATGTCACTGTATTTGTATCTGAGAGTGTGTGCCTGTCAGTGAGTGGGTGTGTCAGTGTGTATCTGTTAGTCAAACTGCATGTTCGTCTAAAACAGGTAGGGGTGGGGCAAATTTAGATTGGAGGGGGTGCCAGAGTTTTGTTCTGCCTAGGGCAGCACATATCTAAAATACACCACTGCACTGCCCCACCATCACCACCCTAATACATTGCCTCTTCCTTTCCCCAACTTAATACACTGCCTCACCATCACCATTCGAATACACTGCCCCCTACCTCCCCCAATTTAAGACACTGCCCCCTCCCACTCCAAATGAATACATTGCCGCCCATCCCACCACTCTAATACACTGCCCCCTTCCTCCCTCAAATTAATACACTGGCCTGCTCCGTCCCTCAAATTAATACACTGCCCACACCCTGCCCCAATTTAATACACTGGCCCCCTCCCACTCCAAATGAATACACTGCCCCTCTCCCTAATTTGACACACTATACAAGAAGTTCCCCCCAGCCCCTCTTCCCCTACCTTAAGATGAGCCACCTGTCCTCCAGTTACAGCCCTGCTCTTCTCTGCTCAAGCAGGCCAGGTGCTCCCCTGGCACTGTGAGGAGGAGGGAAGGGGGAGTGGCTGGCCTGCTCCGCAGACAGCCAGACACTCTGCGCTCTTGTGACCACGGGAGCATGCGATCGGCAGTGGGAGGGAAGACAATAAGCAGACAGAAAATATATTTCCTGTCTTGCAGCTGGCCGCAGCCAGAGCACAAATGGGCCTCGGGGCAGGCGGGCCGCAAATATATTCATTGTGGGCCACATGCGGCCCATGGGTCGCAAGATTTACATGCTTGCTTTAAAGGTTCAACTGGACACAAAAGGTGCCATGTTACTTATGGAGGTTGCACAAGACTAGCTGTCAGTGTGTTTTACTCTTGCTGTAGGTATTTAAAAGGAGGATACCTACAGGGGCCAGGGCCGGACTGACCCACCCATATACCGGGAAATTTCCCAGTGGGCCACAGCACTTGGGGATGGGGCGAGAGCCCTAATACTAAATTATGGAGGGAGGGGCTTGGGGCCGGTGCAGCCGCATTGAGGATGCCGCTGGCGGAGGGAGCACTACAGGGAAGGAGCTTTCTGGCACCCAAGCTTCTCCCCCGATCTCGAGCTCTGCCCCTCGATCTCAAGCTGCTGACTTCAGGGCAAGAAGAGGGCAGGAAATTAAGTTCTCACCTCCCAGGGCTTCCACAGCAGCAGCCTGCAATGCCAGGTAGGCTTCAAATACAGCTAGTAAGTGAGAGTATACAATAAAAGATAGGTGAGGGCACACTACATAAAATAATACTTTTGATTACCCTTGAATGAAAAATATACTCTGTGCTTGATTCACTCCTGTATATAAAATATAAAAACAGGAAAAAACACACATAGGGTAATAACGTAAAAACCTTGGAATTTAAAAAACAAATAAGGTTTCACTCACATGGTCATGAGCCACTTAAAATAAGCTGGCTCAGACTAAAAGCGTAGAAAATATCCGTCCGCGGTACTTCACACACCAGGCTGTTCCCCCTTCGTGGTCTTATTAGTAACTTAAAATATTCCAGGATGGAATGATTAAGTAAAAAACCGAGCGCAAAAAAAACTGAGCGCAAAAAAAAATTAATCCATGTTCGCCCTTCGAGGGCACGCCGCATACTGAGCTCCGCAGGGCGGGTCAAGGTTTATAAAGCCTTGCCCCGCCCTGCGATTAGGCTTAGAACACTCTGATTGGTGGGTTTAAGCCAATCAGAGTGCTCTGTGTCATTTTACACAGCATGGGAAAGTTCTTTTGAATTTTCCCACGCTGTGTAAAATGACACAGAGCACTCTGATTGGCTTAAACCCACCAATCAGAGTGTTCTAAGCCGAATTGCAGGGCGGGGCAAGGCTTTAAGCTTTGACCCGGCAAGTGGAGCTCAGTACGCTGGCGCGCGGCCTCGGCGACTAACATGGATTAATTTTTTTTGCGCCGTTTTTAAGTGCGACGGGTATGATGGAAGATTTTAGAAAAAAGAAGACGTCAAATGGTAAGTTAAATTTTTTTTTACAGGTTAGTTATTTTATTCCCCCCTCACTATTTTTAGGGTGAGGGGTGTAGGTAGGGGATAGTTTTTTTTTGGGTGGGGGGGTGACTAGGGGCTTGGGACCCCTAGTCACCTTGATTGGGGGGGTGTTTCATTTAGGGCCCCCACCCCCGCTCAGGGGTGGGGGCCGGGGGGGAGGACAGTAGGTCGCCCCTCCTTATTGTTTTATTAGGGCCCCCACCCACCGCGCAGGGGTGGGGGCCAGGGGGGGGAAAGTAGGTCCCCCCCCTTATTGTTTTATAAGGGCCCCCACCCACCGTGCAGGGGTGGGGGCCAAGGGGGAGGACAGTAGGTCCCCCCCTTATTGTTTTATTAGGGCCCCACCCACCGCTCAGGGGTGGGGGTCAGGGGGGAGGACAGTAGGTCCCCCCCCCTCATTATCTTCATGGCCCCCACCTGCCGTTCAGGGAGGGGGGGAGGACAATAGGTCCGACCCCCCCTTATTGTAATTTATGTAATTTTTTTTCAACAGTGAGCAGCCACAGGCTGCTCACTGTTTAGTAGGCATGCCCCTACTCGCGGTATAGCGAGTAGGGGCATTTGGGAGATTTTAATCTCCCTTGTGCTATTATGGGGGTCATATTGACCCCCATAGAGTGAGAGGGGGACCTGGGCGGGCTTATGAAGTGGTGGGGAGCACTGCTCCCTGCCGCTTCTATCTTTACATATTACAAGGAGGGGGCTGCATGCCGGTAGCTCCCTCCTTGTAATAAACTGAACGAACAAACTAACACTGTGTTAGTTTGTTCGTCTGACATTTCTATTCACTCATTTGGCTGTCTGATGAATGAATGAATGAATAGATGAAATTCCCGTTCGCATGTCCAGGTGTTTCACTGGGCATGTGCGGGAATCTCACAGTCTGTCTAGTGTGGGCTGATGACGTGTCCCTGAGGGACTTCACCTACCCACACAAAGATGGTGGCGCCCTGAATATAGATCGGGGCAGAAAATAAAGATTTAAAAAGAGGTAATCTGGGGGGCTTAGGGGTATTTGGGGGTGACTAGTGGGTCAATTGGATGTAGTGGAGGCGGGAGGGGGGTTAAAAAAAACAACGGGATTCGGCATGACAGTGCCGCTTTAAGCAGGTATGTGTGTGTGTCAGTGAGCATGTCTGTAGTAAGCATGTATGTGTGTCAGTGAGCATGTCTGTATTAAGCATATGTGTGTCAGTGAGCATGTCTGTATTAAGCATATGTGTGTGTCAGTGAGCATGTCTGTAATAAGCAAATGTGTGTCAGTGAGCATGTCTGTAATAAGCATATGTGTGTGTCAGTGAGCATGTCTGTAATAAGCATGTATTTGTGTGTCAGTGAGCCTGTCTGTAGTAAGCATGTAAGTGTGTCAGTGAGCATGTCTGTAGTAAGCGTGCATGTGTGTCAGTGAGCTTGTCTGTAGTGAGCTTGGGTGGGTGTGTGTCAGTGAGCTTGTTTGTAGTGACGTGTGTCAGTGAGCTTGCCTGTAGTAAGCTTGAGTCTGTCAGTGAGCTTGTCTGTAGTAAGCATCTTTGTGTTTACCAGTGAGTTTGTCTGTAGTAAGCTTGTGTGTGTTAGAGAGTTTGTCTGTACCTGTAAACTTGTCTGTGTGTCAGTGAGATTATCTATGCCTGCATGTGAGTATGCTTACTGTATAATTAAAAGTTTTACCCTGAAAGGACTAATATTTACAATTAAAAAAGGAACATACCAATAATAAAAGTATATATATATATGTATATATCTTTAGTGATAGTGTAAAATATCCCTTTATAACATTTAAAATATGGTACGTCTTGCTACCCCAGATTGAGTAATTCTAATTTATAAACATAAATTATATATATTTATAAAATATGCATGCCAGCACTATAAGTCATTGTGCCACAGTAGTGTGTGTGTTGTGTGTGTGTATATATATATATATATATATATATACACACACACACACACACACACACACACACACACACATATACACACACACGCAAACACTACCGTGGCACAATGACTTATTGGGCTGGCATACATTTTTTTTCCAGGGCCTCCTGTATATTTGATGTAACCACATTTCATAGGCTTCATAGGCCAAGACTTATATGAAAGTAATGAAACATTTCAACTGAAAGGCACACCAATGTTATAAGTTATTTAGTAAATGTTATAAATGTCAAATTCTACTTTACATCAAAGCCTACATTCTTAGTTCCCTGTTCTCTTGCGGATTGTGTCATCCAAAATAATCTTCTTCAAATGTTAAATATTACAGCATATTTTTATAAGATATTTGACTTTTTGCATCATAAAAAGAGGAAAACAACTAGAGTGTGGAAAAATCTTAACTCCTTTACTATTGAATTTTTTAATAAAATAAATCATGAGTAACATTCACACTAAGCAAGGGATATATAGCGAACATAGGATAATAGGACAAAACAGCACCATTGTGTACAGAATACTTAAAGAGATATCTACAAAAAATGTTTTTTGATTTTATTTTGTTTTTAAATTAATTTATTAATTCCTAATTTTGTAGAAATATTGGCTTGATATAAAGTAAGATGTTATGTTATCCCTTTCTCTCACAACCCTTCCAATGGATTACAAAATAAGGTAACTTAGCACAACTTTACCGAACATACATGTAGTAAGTTGCAGTAGGTGGTATTATAAAACAAATACAATAGGCCAAATAACGTGCTTATTGGTATTTATAAGGAATCTGCAGTTATTTTGGCAATGGATATTTCCACACAGGCAAGAGAATGTTCTAATCGTCATTTGCATACAGTAAGTACAGTTGCCTGGTTAAATCTAAATACCTAGGATAAGTTGACAACTATGTTCCGGGTTCTCTCAAACAGTTCCAAATAGTCTTGTTTTGTTAGATGGATTACCATAGTAACAGAATCCTATAGATATACGCATAGTCAGGGGTTACTGCTCTTAACAATTACTGCCAATGAACCGCTCTCTGTGTACATTCATTTTCTCATCTCTTCTACATTTTGTTGTTTTTCTTTTGATTGCTAGCTTTACTCAGGGGTGTTGCTAGGTGGCAAAAAGAGGTTTCAGCCCAAGGGTAAATGTAATGACCTACCTACATATATTGGATTAATCTCCTCCTGAAACCAGCACTATACCAGGCTGATTTCCAAAAATCACACCAACGTTTAGAATTAATTCAGAGTAATAAAAAATATACATTGTCATATTTTCTAAATGATTTACCAATAAATGAAAAAACAGACATGGTGCATGGAAACTAAAAACTCAAGCAAGGCTGAGAAGCTATAATTTTAACAGTAGATCTCAGAGGTGATGTAGGGAATATCTGCTTATTGTCGAATTTCATTGTCATTCAAGTCCTGAGTCCCCTTTAGCACCAAAAAATAAATATTGTCTACAATTGCATAAATTGTGACAGGGACACTTTAATGCACCATATTTGGAGTTTATCATACAACACGCATGGGGCTATTGCTGTAGGTGCAGGGTTTTAATGAAATGAGGTTAAGGGTTGATATAACATGGCTTGGTACGACAGGTGTGGTGTTCTTAAAAATAGCATTAAAGGGCATCACAGGCTAGCTGGTCTGAAGCCAACTGAGTAAAAAGCAAATAAATAAATATTTAGTAAGATACTGTTAGAAGTGAAAAGGAACGTTTGATGATCTGTGTATTCAGAATCTAAGCAGAAAAGAGAAGAGGGTTAAACATCAACTTTGGAGAAAAAGTGATATAGCGCTGACTCCAAAGGCAGCAGACACTGAAACTTGGATACCCTAACAATCCAAGGTAATTAGAAAAAAAATACAATATACGAGAAAACAGGTTGCGTCAAGTAATAATCTGAATGCAATTGAATCATATTATATAGCATAAACCTAAACGTGTCTTTGTAAATGGTATACACAAATAGTCCGAGTTCTTCTTTGACGTTCGATAGGTTTCGGGGGTATGAAATGACAATTAGCACACAAAAAAGCAATAGTGTAATATTGTATAACCAAGGGCGAGATTATGGAAAATACACTCACAAGTGGGAAGCTATCTACTAGCTCTCGTCTCTCAGTTTATGACAATACAACCCGTGTCAGGGATATGTGGTGGATGAAAAATCAGGTCCCTTTTGAAAGTATTACATTTAATACTATAGCCAAGTATTGGATCTTTTACACTATTACACTATTGGTGTTTTTCTATTTCTGTATATTAACTGTGAGACATCTGTATCAAAGTTGTCATTTAGTGCATATCTACTTTCGAAAGTTACCTGATTAATCACCCACCACATATTAAATATAAAAACATTTGACTTGGCAAAAGTAAGGGGAGCTCCAGAATGGTGGCTATCCCAGGTAAGTAGGTTAATCTCATAAGAACAAGCATTGGGTTACTAGAATAGGGCAGGACAGGCCGAAATTGGGGTACATTGACATTGTGGCAGGCCAAAAATTGGGTTACATTGACATTGTGGCAGGTTTATGAAATGTAGGATCATATACTGTAACTAAATTTCCATTATTTTTGCTTAGGACTGGAGTTTTGTTTTGTTTTTTTGGAAATGTAATTTTGTAGGCATTGAAGCTAGTTTATAGGCGAGTTAGTGGACTGAATTCTGAATTTTATACACATTATTTACACACACTCACACCTTTTCTGAAATGTGGAGCTTCATTGACTATATTTTGTGCATTGAAAATAATAACCTTACAATTTCATACATCCGGGGAATTAAAACCAATTATTCACGTAAATCCTTATAATGTGACAGTTAATATAGAAGGGACAGGCCGGGTATGTGTTGTGCCTCACACAATCAAATTAAAGCCGTGTGCAGCAATTACAGAAACCATGGGGCCAAGCTAGCACCAGCTGTGAGCAACCTCCTGTAATTAGCTTTTATACTCTACTAAGGTAAGTGAAATTAGATTGGCAATGCAGACGTTATTATATGCATTGTTAAACAGACTTGTGTATATGTGTGGTCTTCCATCCAGATCCTCTCCTCTTTTGCTAATCAATTATGGCATTAGATGTTGCAATATATAATTCACAGAGTCCGCATGGGTCACTAGAATTTCTATCTGCTCCCAATTTCTCACAGCTGTTTAACCACGTATACTCTGCAGAGTTTCTGTGCTTTAATTCAATTGGAAGCTTGAATTTGCAAATTGCCTAGACTGTGAGCTTAATTTCTGTAACATAAACAGAGACAGATCCCATTCTTTAAAAGTTATTATTGGGTTAGTGAAGGGATGGGCTAAGTACTGGTAACAGATGATAAGCTCCTACTAAATAGCCAATTTGAAGTTGCATATTTTAGCTATTTCAGCAATTTTGGCCACAGATTCACTTATCTCCTGTACTTCATCGGTAAGAAACCAGATACAGTTTCCTTATAGACTCTCAAAAAGAGAGGTTTTAAGTATTTTTTTCTTCTTAAAACTACTAGATATTTATTTTGTGATTTATTTGCCACAGTGTTATTCAATAAATTGTGAATTTTGAGGAATTGTCAGTTGAATTTAATTTTTCTGGTCAATTGATGATAACTCACGACTTAGTAAATCACCTTTGAATGTTCATGGCTTGTTTCGTCCACCCTTTTTACCATGCCTCTATATGATCATGATATATATCTTATAATATTTTTATTGGTTTTTAGAAATACTTTTCATTTCTCACATCCTTTTCTGTGACCAGCCGGTTGGTAAATAAAGTGTTAATTCGAAAGCCCTGTTACACACAAATCCACCTCAATATATTGTTGCATAGAAGACTTTCATGACCTCAACCCTTATATCGGATCTGTCACTTTCAGGGACTTTGCCTATTTCACCCAGACAGACCCATAAAGTGACAGATCTGGTTTGGGGTTGTTGGTTGCAGGGGAAGATCATTTTTAATTATTGCTATCTTCATCTTGTAGGTTCTCATAAGTTACCTGTGCTTCAGTTGACAGGAGCCATGACAGTGCTGTAATCTCGAGTACTATGGACCAGGAGAGCCTCCAAAGATTGATGCCTGAATCACACAGCCGCAACTTAAATGGTTGCTGGGATTGGACAAAAGTTCACAGTGGAGCTTTGCATTATGTCAACTCTAATCAACCTCAGGCTGGTCCATAAAATTAAATAGTCCATACTTTGTCATATGGTATCTTCGGATTGCCTTTGAATTTCACTGATCAGTATTCCACAAAGAATATATCTTTATGACATACAGAAATGTGAAAGATCCCCTTTAATGCCAGCTGATAATCAGACTCATGTTTTAAGTGCAAACTTGACATAAGCAGATTGATTTTTTTTTTACTTATTAAATTAGATGATGTCCCTGTAGTCTCTTCTCTGCCATTTAGGTGTTAAGCCACTTTACCTCTTCAGCCCAAGCTATACTTCCCCTGGCTGTCACTCACACAGTCTCCCTACGCACTTCCTGAAAAGATGTGTTCATTTGGAACCTGCCTTAGATTTCTTATCTTCTGCTATGTTAGTTGCCTGCTTGTCCAAAGCCACCTCCTGTGTGAGATTAGATGAATGATAGAAAGCAATCAATCAAGATTTCACAGGAAGAAACAAGATTTCTTCCAATTCTACAGATGGCACTTTTAGAGAAGACCTTTTTCGGACTCAGTCCAGCCCTACGTGACTATTTTAGTTTATTCACATAATTTGCAAATAAATCCAGTATTAGGCTGAATAACGATCTATACATTTACCAATATCGCTTTCCATGTCTAATTTTATAGCATTCAAACGTGTTCATTTTGTCTACAAATAAGCATTAGATTGGACACTGCCTTGCAGGAACATGGAGTTAGTACTGGCCAAAAAAGGGTCATTCAATATCGATTGCATGATTTACTAAATAATGAGCTCAGCTAGTCCAGCAACCAGTCAATCAACTTCTCTTAAAATTCTTTCAAAAAGGATAGCTTTATCACCCAGAATTTCCCGTGTGTA